AATTAAATAATTAATTTTAAAATAAATAAAAAATACAAGTTAAATAAATACTCACTTAATCAATTAAGAAATCAAGCACACAATTTAGATAATTAAATAAAAACACAATAAAATCCTCAATCAAAATTCCCAAATTAGCCTTTTGAAAACTAGGGATATTACATGTAAGCTTAGGATTAAGCCTACAATGGATGCTTGGATGAGTGATAACTGTAGGCTCCAAATTTAGTCTGGCATTAGTGTGTGTGTGAGAGGTAGTATAAGAGCACATAGTGAGTGGAAGATTTCACCAAAATTAGTTTAGGGTTTCCATTTTAAATTCATTCATCTCTTTCCTCTCGAACCCTAACCTAGTCTCCATTGAAGCAAAGCTTGTCTAAGAGCTTTAAGCTTCATTTTGGTCCCCTTCCACTCACCTTTGACCATAAAGTTTGGAATACAAAAGTTTTGCCTCATCGTCCTCTAAATAACCCTAAAAAGGTTTACCATTTTGAGCTTGCTTGCCTTGGATTCTAGAGAAACACTTCTCTAATGAGGTAGGGAGTGTTCTAAGTTTATTATCTAAGGGATTTACTTGCTTTTGTAGTGAAATATAAGTTGTATGCATGTCTTATATTAATTTGAGAAATTAATAATTAATTGTAATTTGCATATAACTCACTTAAGACTTGGTATATGGCATGACCATGACTTGATCTTTGTTATATATTAATTTGGGATGATTTAAATGAGTTTTCAAATTTAGAGATTTAATTAATTTAATTTGATTTAAATTATACTTAATTGTATTTTGCTTGTATTCCATTTTAGACTTGATATATGGCATGACCATGACTTAATCCTTGTTATATATTAACTTGGGATCATTTAAATAACTTTTGAAATCTAGAGATTTAATTAATTTAAATTAATTAAATCTCTAGATTTCAAAAGTTATTCAAATAATCCCAAATACACGATGATATCTTGCTCATTTTACACTTTTGATTTGATATATGTAATGACCATGCTATGTTGTTTAACATATATTAATTAGGGATTATTTGGTTGAGATTTAAAACCTAGAGAAATTAATTAGTTTATTTAATTAATTTTCGTTTCTATCACATTAATGAGTTAATCATGTATTTGAGGTTGGTCGTATGTTTAAATAATGATTTTGGACTTGTATTAGATTAATGAGTTTATGTTTTCAATATTGAGCGATATTGTTATAGCGTGCAATGAATCACACACTGAAGATTCGACATGTGTCATGCCATAGTAGTTGTCGAATTAGAACATGTATTGTATGTGTTTCCAAATTCGGTTATGCATGGTAGATAATTGATTACCTTGTATATACATGATGTTATATACGTTGTTACACAATTTGTTAATTTTGAAAACTTGGGACATCATTGTATGACTACGGCTAGGGCATGGTTCTAGTACGGAGGATTGTCCTCCTATAGTCTAGTGCGCACATAGGGAGGTTACCCGTGGACTAGTAACCCGAAAGTAACCACGTTGTCGGTCTAATCCGGCGTAATGTCCAAGTATCCACCTTGTTTGATTTCGTATTTTATTTCAAGTTAATAACTAGATAATGTTGTAACTTGTTGTTCCTTATTTGATTTTTCATTTTAAGTTTCACGATGTTAACTTTGAGAAATTGCTTAATGCGTTGTATTGGAAGTTCCAATGTTGGCTAAATTGCATCGATAATATGATTTGTGTTGTATTGTTCTAATGTAGCCTAAGATAATTCTTTAGACTCATTTGGAACATAGACGTTAGGTGGCATAAACCATTTTAGTTGATTTCATATTTCATATTTCAAGTTGATAACTTCGATAATCTATACCTTGTTGCGTTGTATAGTATGCTTCTATATTGTTTAATTGCATAAATATTGTAATTTATGCTAAAAATGTTTTAAAGTAACTTAGGATGATTCCTGAGTCTCACTAAGACATAGACGTTAAGTGACATGATCATTTTGAATTGTTTTACGTAAATGTGAAAACCTTGTAAAAAGTTAGGTCTTTGCATGCTCATTCCCTACGAGTAACTTGTTTACTCACCCCAAAGTTATCGGGTTGTTTTCAGGTACAGATGCCTTGGTTTGGGATGCACAACATCCCTAGGTCATTTCGATGGATTGAAGTTCGTTTAAATGCATTCTTGTTCACATGCAAGTGTTAGCATGTTTAAATTTTACTCTTAAGGTTGTAATATATAGTTAGGACAAAAACATCATTTTTGCCTTGGACTTGTAATGCGTGCCTAAGCACACTTTTTGGCACTCATTCTATGTATATGATATGTGGTCAAGGGCCAAACTTCATTTGAAATCCATAAATACCTATAAATGTTGAATTTTGTCTTTAATGAGAAAAGTATGAAAATTAAGGTTTTAATATGTCATTTTTGCACCGAAATGTGCATTGTGTATGAAATTCATCATTTGGTATTCATTTACCATGTATGAGGTGTGGCCAAGGGTCAAACACCATTTTGTTTTAGGTTTTACATTCTTGTTTCATATTTTACATTTTTGGGCTAAAATAGGAAAATCCGAGTCTTTAAGGGTTCATTTTCAAATCGGGTGGCGTATAGTGTGTTCCGGCACATCCAGTAGCACTCATATATTATGCAAGAAGTATGGCCAAGGGCCAAACGGTCTTTTGATCGCATTTAGGTACGGTTCTTGCATTTTTTGCCTTTGAAGGGCATTTTTCTCGCATTGGGGTTTGGGCAGGTCATATTTTGCATCGGCGGTATTTTTAAACCGTGGATCATTGTAGCACGTCCGAATAGGTAAGTTACGTCTGTGTGCATGATTGTTTCCGGACAAAACCCTTTCCTTGGTGATTTGAGTCTCCTATGGGCTCATTTCGCATTTTCTTTTGCAAAAACTGTGCATAAGGGTATTTTGGGGTTTTCACATGAAGAATAAAACTTTCTTTTGGCATGGTTAGCTAGAAAACATAATTTTGGGGGGGGGGGGGGGGGAGGGTTCTTCTTTGTGTTTTTTTTTTAAAGGTCCAGAAAATCCTCAAAATCGCATTTCAAGTTGGTTGGTCTAGACGAGTGCTCGTAGTTAGGACAATGGACATTGCCTTAACATGCCCATTTGCGAGCGTTCGTTCGTCTGTGTGTGTGTGTGTGTGTCATGGTTCAGCACTGCACCTCCGACTTCAAGTTGTCATATCTTCTTTGTTTTAACTCTGAATTGGTCCGTTCTTGAGTCTAAATTGACCGCGTCGAAATAAGATTTCCAATGGTACCAATTAAAGTTATAGATGCCATTTGTAGCTCAAGATATATAAGTTTTATTGAGATAGTGTCAGGATTTTGTTCGAACTGGGATGGGGTTTCTCTTCCTTTGACTTCAATAATTGATATATTTGCTGTCCGGACTCCGAATCAAGTGATTCTTGAGTCCATCTTTTTTAATTTTTCATTTTCTTTCCAATGGTGTGCACGGTGGTACCCATTTCAGTTTGGAATGACCATTTTGCCTTTAGTCCATTTATTGGAGGGTTTTGAAACTTTTACTTTTGTCTTGCTTTCGTTAAGTCATAGGACTCCTCGGAAGGTCATTCTCGTGTTTTAGGGATGATGTACATTTATATAGACTTGTTTATATTTAGCTTCCGCATTTTGGATCCGTTTCGGGTCATCACAGGACACGTTGGGTTTGTAAAAATGTAGAGTCGTCACACACACATATCATCATTTGAGCTTTGAATAAATGATATTTTTTTCCAAATTTTCAATTTTCTCTCTCATTTCCTTTATTTTTTAAAGATAAAAGTTATACCACTGATACAAAGTTTGAACTTCCTTTTTCATTAATGTAAATTGGATTTATATATACACACTTCTGTTTTGCGAATTTTTTTGGTTGTTGAATTACATTTTTACAAATTTTTGATATTAAGATAATTTAATATTATTATAAATAATTTAAAATAAGTAATAAAATACATGAATACAATCGGTCATTACCAAAAATATATTTTCACAATACTGACATTACCAAACATACTTTCATTGTTTTGCTTCTGAAGCACGGACTTTACCAAACACGTTTTTATATTTTTGCTTCTGAAGCATAGATGTTACCAAACATATTTTCATGTTTTTGCTTTCGAAGTATGGACGTTATCAAACATGTTTGTATGTTTTCGCTTTCTAAAATCTTACAACAAATAGACGTTACCAAACAAGTTTTAAAAATAGTATTCAACACACTCTAAAAACAAAAACATTGATTCTGCTTCGGGTTAAAGTAAAAGCACAAAGCAACTATGGTTGCCAAACGGGTCCTAAAGTTTTAACATATAAGAAATTAAGATTTAAATAAAGAAAGTTGAAATAAATATTATATAATATATTTATAATTAAAAATATAAATAAAAATAATATTATAATTCGACTTCGGATTGATTTTAGGTTGCTAAAACCTCAACCTAAGCTCGATCTTAATTAAATTCACATTGAGATTTTTTAATGCAACCTAACCCTAATTGTAAATATGGTTGACGAAATTATTGAGTTAGACGTACTCAGGTTGATTTGGAGTTGCACAAACAAGCCGCACTCCTAATTTCAACTACTACAATTGATATTTGAATTTTTTTTTTTGAATTCTCTCTTTGAGTTCTTTAATTATTTTACCATAATAATAATTATCTCATAATTTTTTTTTTTAAAAAACGACACGCATATTAAAATTAATCCAATATTTTTGCTATGAGTTCATTCTTAAGAACCAATTGAGCTCCATTCAAATTGTTAACTAAAACTCAGCTCGTCCTACTTAACTAAAACTCAAACGACTCAATTATTCAGAATCTCAGATGAGTGGGGTCGAAAAAATGTTTTGTGAATCGAGTATTTTGAAAAGAAAAAAAAAAAAAAAAAAAAACTAAAATTAAAAATCCAGCGCTGTAATTCCGACTCGTTAGTGGGAGTTCGGGTTTTTTAGGAACACCATCGACCAACCAACGACCCATCAAGGAATTTTAACCGGCTACCCGTTAGACCCGGATGTTTATCTTTTAGGGCTTATTTTTTGCTCCATTGTTCTTGAGTTTCCAGTTTGGCGCTCTGTTCTGACGACGATGGCTTCTCTGTTCAAGGTAGGATCTGTACCTGTTTTTTTAACATCGTTGCTATTTACGCTTGTGGTTTTCTTTATTTGGATTATATTGCAACTTCTTTCATCTGGCACAATCCAGCAAAGTGAACATGGAATTGAAGTTGTATTTGTTAACTTAAATTTGATTATTATCGACACACACACACACACTCATTTGAAGAACATGGAATTGAAGCTGTATTAGTCGACTTAAAAGTCAATTGTTTAGCAACTATTGATTTGGTGTGGGCAGTGAAATGCGGGGTATAAGGGTTGAAGATTCTGGACTAGAAGGGTTGGGACTTTTTATTAAATTGGAGTTTAAGTGCCATCATAAATCCATGAGGTGTGGTATTATAGTTTAGATTCTTCTTGTTGAGCAATATTGACTAAATGAATAAAGTGAAATTATTTTCAATGTGAAAGCTTGATCGACTAATCAATTGGGTATGAAAGAAAGCTGCATTGCTCATCTATATTTCGCATTATTTAGTCAGGCGTAAGCCTATGTCTTGTCCTGCGATACTTTATGCTACTGTTGAAAGCATATACATGAATGTTGCATTCCTCTTTTTTCAAATTTGTTTTGTGGAGTGTATTTGCATATGTAATACATTTGACATGTACACTTAGCTTATAAGTAGTCAATAACAACCCGACTGATCTTTATCTTTATATATATATATATATATATATATATATATATTTCAATCTGTATTTCGACATCTCTCCTTTGTGGCTCGTGTTGAACAGTTGGAACTTTTGTCTTTTCTAATTGTTGTTTTTCATTTTAAAGATTTGGGTAGATATGTCAGTGGTGACAGTGCTGGTAGTATTGTACGTTCCATGGTATTTTAAAACACTTGCATTGTATTTTTACATGGCTTATATGTTTTTCATCTTAGGATCCAAGTAAGATTTCAGCATATCGGGATAAAAGGTTTCCAGGAACGCAGGAAGAATTTGAAGATGCACTCTTGACCTCAACGACTGTTTATATTGGGAACATGTCCTTTTATACAACAGAAGAGCAAGTTTACGAGCTATTCACTCGAGCTGGAGAAATTAAAAAGATAATCATGGGTTTGGACAAGAACACAAAAACTCCTTGCGGCTTTTGTTTTGTCTTGTAAGGAGTCTTATCTCTATTGATTTTTGCCGATAAACATATCACCTTTTTTCATAGATAAAATTATGTGTTCAGCTTTCTTTGCATTAAGTTACAAAATTGCATTATGTTAGTAGACTTACTGGATGTTGAAACATCAAACTGAAGCTATCATTTCATTGCTTGATCCTGGAACAATATTGATGGGTTTGGTTTGGCTTGTGGTTCTAGACCAGCTAATCTGAATCTAACCTTATTTTTTACATTGAAATAATTATTTATAGATTCTGTGAATATATTTTTAATTTTAATTTGCTGTTCAATGTTATTTTGTTATTATTATTTTTATATTCTATAAGATGCTAAAGAGTTATCTGATTGGGTTCTTTTTCCGTTCAATGTTATTTTGTTATTCTTTTTTTTATTCTATAAGATGCTAAAGAGTTATCTGATCGGTTTATTTTGTTGTTCAATGTTATTCTGTAATGTGCTAACCTTCACAATTTTTGGTTTTCTTGTTTAATCTTTGAAGTTATTTTTATTTCATTTTATTTTTCCCCCCTGTAAATGCTTCAAGGATGTTATGTTTCCAATAATGCTTGTTACTTGCTGATGGATTTTATCTATTTATTATTTCAGCCTGCTTACCTCCCAACTTTAGTTGACGCTGATACCCCAAATTTTGCTTGTGGATGTTACACTCATTGAATATCTGTAGATTTACTTTTGTACTAGTTTGGGCAAGATGTTTGTGTAATGCTTTGTAGGTTTGGTGTTTTCATTCAGGACTCTTGTTTTCCGGTGCTCTCTGAGCAAACTTGCTTCTTACATAAATTTATTTTCCACCCTCTGTATAAATGGTCATAGATACTACTCTTTTTGGCTGCAAATTATTGATCTTAACTCTTAATCACTGGCAAACATCACATTTATCAGGTACTACTCTAGAGAAGATGCTGAGGATTCAGTGAAATATATAAGTGGGACCATTCTAGATGATCGCCACATTCGTGTTGATTTTGATTGGGGATTTCAAGAAGGAAGGCAATGGGGCCGTGGTCGAAGTGGTGGACAGGTGATGTGCCTGCCATTTATTGTACAAGGTTTACATTTGTATATGATATGATTCACATATTTCCTTGTTGTCCAGGTACGGGATGAATATCGCACTGACTATGATCCTGATATCCTTTTAAATTTTAATTTAAAAAGGTCATGCTTTCATCTTTCAATTTATTCCAGCATGAACATGCTAATGGAGAACTTTATTTGTGGTTGCCAAGTGTAGATATTAGGTTTTTGGAAAGTCACACAGACCACAAAGAGTTTGACACACGTCACTTGAGAGCCTTAATGACAAATTTTCACGATATAGAAGGATCTCACAAATTGACACTTGTCAACCTTTGTCATATATTTTTGATCGCTACATATTCATATTTAAGTATACTTTATGACTCTTGAAGACGTCCTTAGCAACGCAAAATGTTTAAATCAATTGCTCAACACACTTGTCTGAGTTAGGTGCAGTACTCAGGGACCTCCTCAAGATTGATGAGCAATGCAATTTAATTTCCAGCATCAAGTCATAATCCCTGTGGCTATAATGTGAACTCCATGCACATTATTACCCATCCCCACAATCATGTTGTGAGTAAAATGATTTTAGATTTACTTGGGGAAAAAAGAAATGATGTTAAGATATCCATTCCACCTGTGATATTGGTTTTTCTTGATTTGGTGGCTTATGCTAAGGGTTAGTGGAGGTGTTATCTAACTTATCAAAAAGAAAAAAGAAAAAAAGTGGAGGCAAGGTACACATGATAAGTGCTGTGGGTGGCATCTTAAATGGACACGTGGCAAAGAGGGAGAGGGGGGGTGGCGTACCTGGCATGTGGTGGATCCATACTACATTCTCATAGCCATGTCGAATATGTTGACATGGGTGCTTCACATATTGTGAAGTGTCCTTGTAAGTACGTTTCAAGTTTGGGTTTATTCATCTTTCATCTATAAGAGAACTGTTTATGAGAATGTATGTAAAATCCTTCTGTTAGAGTGGCTGGTTGGAGATAACTGTTGACATCATATTCATTATAAGATGTTATCGCTGATACATTATTTTGTGGCACTAGTTATAGTTCTTTCTTTTAGCTTTTCTTGATGGTGTATCAGTTAATTTTGGCATGTAATTTAGGTATTTTTTATTTTGATTTTGGGAGTACCTGGTTTGAGAGCAAAACACTAAGCATTCTTTTGTATTGTGAATTTGTGATTGTAAGAATTCACAATGGTAAACCCACGATGCCTTTACAATTTTGGTCCATTTTTGTAAAACACAAGACACTACTTTAGTTTCCTTAATGAACTACACGCAGAGGTGGTTACGGAAAGCTGGTTCAGAGAGAATTGGAAGCACAAAGACAGCTAGTAGATTATGGTGCTGGATCGTTAGCCTCTTTCCCTCCTGTTATGCCGTCTCGCTGTAAGTTTTGAAGCACCTTTACTAATAGAGCTCTTGTTCTTAATTATAAATAGAGTGGACAAATTTGTCTTGATTTTCATGAATATTTCAATTATAGTTTTCTCAAATACTTGTCAATATAGTCTGTCACAAAAATTAAAAAATGATAAAAATAAAATATCATTAGAAACATTGTTTTTCCCATTGTGTTTTAATGCAACAAATGAGTATGCTTTGATGCCTAGTAAAACCTTAAAATTTCAACTTGGACAAAATAAAATGCATTACATGATAAACAGACTTATTAATGCCAAAAGTAATCTTTCATCTTTAGAAATGGAAGCATGTTTTAAAATGTTTAGCCTTTGGCTGTGCTGGATTTGGCCAACCACATTATTTGTTAGAAATGGAACCATAAATTCATGTTATATCAGGGGATAAAAAGATAGCACACATAGTTTGGGGTGTTTGTGAAATTAACCCCTGTTTTAATAATAAATTTATTGTTCAATGGCTTTATTGGTCATAGTTTATGAGCAATGCAAGATAATAACTCAAATGTGATGCAGTCTGCAATCACTTTATTGGAGTGCTAATATTTAGGGATCACATATTTTTAGGGTTTGTGAAGGTAGAAAGGAAGTAAGTAGATTGGTTTAAGGATGACTAGATTCAAACTAGATGAGGTGTGATAGTACTCTGTTATTGGATTTTAGGAAAATATCCTAGCACAATTTCTGGAGAGCATATTACTTTGGTTTATAGGTGTCTAGGTGAAGAGGTAGAAAGAGATATTGGTTTTGAGAGAAGGGTTTTACTTCTAGAACTAATGAGAAAAAAGCCGGCTTTTGATTAAGTAGTAATTAAAGCAATAAAAAGGCGTAGAAGAAAAAATGGTAGAGTGGAGATGAACAAAGTCACTTAGTTTTCGTCAATTTCTTCAAATTCAATCTAATTTCACTCTATTATAATACAATTAGAATGTTACCCAAGTTTCATGCAGGGTTGGCCCTATAAGGTGAAGGTTTGGTGGGGCTGGGTAGAATGTAAATTGCCACCGACTTGAGTACTTGAATTATAAGGTTGGGCTGGCAAGCAACTAGCAACTTCTGTAAGTTAGCAAGGCTTGCATTTCAACCCCAGTGTTGGCCAAGCTAATTTCGGTTCTGCAATTTGTAACAGTATTATCATCCATTTCATGCTTAACCTACAGTTAGCTCATCATCATCCTTGCCTTTATCCCATATGAATGGGGTCGGCCACATGAATTTTCTTTTTCCATTCTTTCCTATTATACACCATATCTTCTCTTAAATTTAATTTTTTAAAGTCGTCTTTAATTACTTCAAACCCATGTAAGCTTTGGTTGGCCTCTTTGTCGCGTACCTTCTAAACAAACAGCTCTTCCTTGTGAATATGGCCATACTATGGTTACTACCTAAGTCAACTTTTCCTAATTTTATCATTTATTGGCGCTATACCTAACGGTCCCCTCACATGTTCATTATTTATCTTATCTCTTCTAGTGATTCCTATCATCCTACGTAGCATCCTCATTTTTGCTACATGAATTTGTTGTATTTGTTTTTTTTTTTTAAACACCCAACACTCCGTGCCATACAATATTGCCGGCCTAATAACCATTCTGTAGACTTTTCTTTTTAATTTATTCAATATTCGATTGTCACAAAGGATACCACTAGCTTGCCTCCATTTTATTCACCCCGATCCAATCCTACTTACTACATCACCATCTATTTATCTATCTTTTTGTGGTATTGATCCTAGGTAAAGAAAATAGTTCTTTTGAGTAAATTCTTTGGTCTTGAAGTGTAATATTCATATTGTCATCGTTTTCTACTTTGTCAAATTTACATGCTTAACCTACAATTAGCTATTAATTAGTGTTTTATTTTACTGAAAAAACCGTTGTCTCATAATTCGATCTTCTTTCTACATGTTAAAGCCTTCACTTAAGAACACAGAACACTAAATTAATTACTATTGAAAAATGCTATCTGGCTGAAGGGCCATTTGCTGGCTTGGTGTAGTAATAAAAGTTTGGGCTGCCAAGTGTTAAGAGCATGGGTTAAAGTCTTACATCAGTCAATTTGTGCATATTATTCCCATAGGCTAGGTTTGTGTCTACTCCACTTCTCCCAACGCCTGAGGTGGAAGTGTGGAACAAATGTTGTAATGGGCCTTTAAATTCTAGCAGGCTGTTTTATAGGAATCCAGCAACTTGCTGCTGTCAAAACTTCATCTATACCGACTTTAGATTTCAATATATTTCATTCATACCTTCACTGGTTGTAAAATAACAAGTTAATCTAGACATGGTTGGGTGTCTTGGTGTGCATCAAGATGATTTCGTTTCCTAGAGTCCCACTCTTGATCTCATGTGATACAAATAGGGCTAAGTAAATAATTAAAAAATCAAGTATAAAACCAAGAATAAAACATAGTGGAGCAATAAAAAAGATAAGACACAAATACATACAATAAAATCGGACAGGTCAATGCTAGTATAAAAAATACTGCATACTTCTATATGGATATGGTGCAAAACAAACTAAAGAGAGGAATCAATCATCATCATTTTCATCTCCGCCATTTTCGTTGTCCTCGTCGTTTTCACCATCTTCTCATTTTCCTTAACTCTCATTGTCACTTCTATCGAAAAAATCGTTGTGTTTATCGTCTGCTTGAGCTTCTTCATTTTGTTCTTTCACATAATTGATGCAGGATAATCTATGTCTAATGCAAAAGGCCAAGTGGATCTTTAGACAACTTGGTACTGATTTGTAGTTAGTGTCAGCTTTTGCTTTATTTTATTTTATTTAAGTTTGGTTTATTGCTAGTCACTATTTCTTGGACTGAAGTATTTTTCTTCTGGTTTTGGTCTTGAAGAACCTTTGAGTTTTGAATCCTTCTTTTATTTAAGCCACCGGATGTAACTTTTGTCTCCAAATGATCTCATCAAGTCTAAATAAGCATTTCATTTGAGTTCCATTTTCCAAACCGCACTTTATCCTCTATTGATGCCTGTCAACCTCTCAAGGAAGATGGTGTTCCCATTCCTTCTAAAAGGGTCCATGTTCTAAGACCCGACCTTAAATCTTAAAGTCATCAGCTTTTTTAAAATTATAAGCTAGGAAGTAAGACAGCAAAAGGGATCCAACTGAGTTTAATGCTCTAAAAGAAACCCCTTATGTATGGAGCTAAGGTCACGGTCTTTATATACTTAAAAGTAGTGATGGCTGTGGTCTTTGCATGAGTCCCACACTCTAATATATAATATGGACCTGACCTTAAAGTAGCGATGAAGTAGTTGATTTTATCGATAGCTTGATTGTATAGTTGTTGTGGTTCAGAGGAGAGCCTTGGTTTTTGTAATATCTGGGTGCGCTCCCCTTTTGAGCACTTCTAAAGAAATCTTTACTTGTCTAAAAAAATGAAATTACTTAGTTGGGGGGAACCTTGAGAAATGTAATTGATTTTGTGAAAGGATTGACCTAGCATTTGGTGCTATTGCTGAATCTTCAGGGCTTGAAGACATCTGCAGAGAAATGAATTTATTTTTTTTATGCGAGCTTTGGATAAACATTTTGACAGCCTTAATGGAAACCACTAACCAGTTGGAATATGTCTCTATAACCGTTAGGTCGCTGGTTCGAGTCTCACCGAAAGTGAGGGCATGGATTTAAATGATGCACTTGGTTTTCGGGCAATTGGGTGCATCCAGAGTTTGGGAAAAAAAAAGTACATAAAAAATCATAATAAATATTAAATTGATGGAGATTCTCCATCATGGCTCAAAGATTTTTGAGAGTTTTTATATATCAATTTGCTACACTTCTTTTGCACGAGACTGCTTTCCAGGAACTTTTGGCGTCATTCAAAAAGATTTGACATCAGGCTGGGACCAATTGTAAACGATTCTTATATATTGCTGGATCATAAATTGATACACCCAGCTTCAAGCAATCAGGGTTGTGGCTTAGTGACATGCATACACTTCTTGATGGGACTAGATCATTCCTGAATGATGTATTAGCTCCTTCTCAGAAGTTGTGTGTGTGTTTGTGTGTGTGTGTGTGTGTGTCTCTCTCTCTCTCTCTCTCTCTCTCTCACGGACACACTTTTTTTAAATTGTCTCTTGGGGACTGCTTTTGAGTTTCTAACATTTTGCCCCAAACATTTTTTGTGCATGACATGATGGCATACATGCTATCAAATTGATAAAGCACATGCTAACAACAAAGTTCCATCAACATCTAGCCCTTCTTTGGTTGATTCAGCTACTACATTATTACATTTCAGATTACAATTTTATCTCCCACAAGGAGTGAGTTGAGTTGAGTTCAGTTTTGGTTGTTTGTAGCCTCTTTAAGGCAAAGGATTTCTCATCCTTCTTTTTGTAGCTACTTTCATACTGGCACCTGAACTGTGGAGTAGTTTATTTATTTTTTTATGGAGTAATATATATATATACACACTTATCTATATGCAACTTGATTTGTTTTGCTCATTGGCTCCAAAAGCCATGCAGTTGGGTACAATTGCATTTTTTGGAAATGATTCTGTTACTGCAACTTCTAACATTTAACCCCTGCAGATGGTGGTAGACATGGTGGAAATCATGGCCACGGGGGCTCTTATCGGCAGGGTAGAGGTATTGCTCTCTTTATAAATATTCTTTTCCTGCCATTTTTTCTGTAAATATGGTGAAGCCACTCGTTTATTAATTATTTATTTACTGTTGTCGATATCTCCATTATTATTTTAGATTACCAACGCAAAAGACCTCGGGAAGACGACCGCCGTGGACCAGAGATCTCAAAGAGAAGTTCAGATCATGAATCTCGGAGAAACTCCGATCACGACTCCAGACCGGTAATTTCTAATAACTTGGTCTTTCTTTCCCTTGTGTGTTTGTGTGTAGCAACTGTTTGATTTGCCAATTTTTTTTAATACTATATAGTGGAGGTAAGGCTGTCATTCAAGTTAAACATCACTAGGAATGCCACATTTCAGTAAAATGCAGCAGCACCTTGTGGTTGATTATGGTGGAGAAACCAAGGCCCTTGTGTGTTTTTCAAAAATTTTGGTGTCTTTTTGCTTTTTAAAAATTTTGGTTACCATTTGAATTTAGAAAATGAGGGGGAATGAAATAGAAATGGCGCCTTCATTGCTTATGCATATTTCTTACTTCATTCTTTCTGATGAGCAGCATTTTCCTTCACTTTTTCTGGTAATCTATAGTTTGCGGATGACACTTGTTTTGTCACGCAAATTCACAATTGCTTTGATGCTGACAGGAGAAGAATCCACGTTTCCGTGAGAGTGGCGATTCTGATGACGACGAGGAAGATGATAGGAAACGTAGGGCTTAGCTGTGGATGATGTATGCAGTGATTAGTGACATCTCTGTCTAAAACTTCTGGATTTGTTACTTGGAAGCAATAGATTTCGCTTCTTTAGAGCCTAATCGCAGCATCATGGAGCTATTGTGCTGGGACATTTGAACTGCAGTTGTTTAGATACTGACCTAAACTGCGAGTTTGAAATATGTTGTATGCAAAAAGAAAATCCCTGATGTGTCCTACTGAGGTGATCTACATAGTTAAAACTAAGATCTATCGACTCTAAACTCGTACGATGACTTTTTCTCTGCAAATGTCAAGAAATTCTACACTGGTAAAGCACGTTTAGAATCCAAGGAAAATTGTTTGCACTACCATTTGAAGCTTTTATATTTTTAATTATATAATTAAAAATATATATTTATTGATGCATACAAAAAGATATATATAATAAAAGTATGTTCTCGTATATAATATTATATATTAAAATGCATTACGAATGGGATTAGAGTCATTCAATTTTTTTTTTTTTTTTAAATAAATAAAAACACGAACCGGATTCGATTCGGATTCATGTTCCAACCGTTCCGATTCCTATTTCAATTTTTAAGAACTGTTGGGACCAGTTTCGGTTCCGCCGGGACCGATGCACACGCGAAACCAGAACCGTGTGCACCCCTTTGCAATGGAGGCTGTTGGGGATTAAAAGGAGGAACCCGACCTTGATCGTCGTAGTTTCTTGAAATGCAAAAGCAGAAACTTTTGCATTGCCTGGTTTGGTGACTAGAGGATCATGTTGTTGACTAGTGTTTCGTATTTATCATCATTTTCATTGCTGCTCCTCCGGTAGATACGGATGGTAATCTTCTTGAACCAGTTTGTAGATCCCTACTTTATTTGAAACAATATCATCTCAACTGTCATTATTCCAACTTCTGAATGGTTTACATAACAGCCTGATAATTTGGTTTATGTTTTCAGAGAAAATTAACAGTTTTTGAATACTGGTTTATTAAAACTCAGTTTAAGATTAAAAAAAAAGAAGGTTTTCTGATAATTGTTTTTTTATAGTTTTGTAGGAACAGCTGTCTGAGTTATTCAATAACTGTTTTTAGAAAATTCAACCACACTATTCTAGTTTGTTTTTGTAACCTTAAGGCTTTGTTTGGATGGATGAATTTGGAAGGAAAAGAAAAGAAAATGTTGGTTCTTTGGAGAGATAAAAGAAGAAACTTGTCATCATGACACTTAAGTCCTATTTTATAAAAAGGTATAATAATAATTTGGTTCTTGTCATTTTTTTTTTGACCTTTACCAAACATAAATATCATCATTTTCTTTCTTTTCCATTGTAATTTATCCAAATATGATTTACTATAATTTCTTTTGGTTTCTCTCATAACTAATGTTATATATTTTTATTTTTATTTTTTTATGTCTTGTTTATCCAAAGCAAGCCTAAATTGCTTTGGCATAAATAAAAAATGAAAATTGTTTTAAATACCTCATCTTCCATGCTTGGTATGCAATACAGTAATAGAATGGAATGAAATGCCCATCCGAACTGATTCTTTGTTTGATATGCAATTTAAAGTGGGAATGGACATTAGGAATGAAAATCCATTCTACAACTAAACCAATAGAATGGCCATTCCATTCCCAAGTAAATTGTTTTAAAAAAATCAACTTTTCCAAAAAACCCTCATATTTCAAGTTCAAAAACAACCACTACCTTCCACCATAACCATCTCTACCTTTTACCACCACTGCCTACCGTTTTCCACCACCACCACCACCACCACCACCACCACCATCGCTTTCCACGAATGTCACTACTTTCTACTGCCACTGCCATCACCTTCCACCAATGCCACTACCTTCCACTGCCACCACCGCCATCGCTACCTACGCCACCACCACACTATTGCCACGCCCTTCTACCAACACCACCGCCACCACCTTCCACCATTGCCATCTTCCAACATCGCTTTTCACCTCTACTATCGTCACTGCCACCATTTATTTTTAAAAAATTATAAAAAAATATTATTTTGTCAATTTAAAATTTAATATATTTTTAAATTTTAAATTAGTTCAACCAAATAATAATAATTATTTTCCATTCCTGCACATTTCATGCTTACAACCATCCATTTCTAATTGCATTTCCACCAAAACAATACCAATGTCACTCTGACCTTCTTTAAGAAACCAATCTCACTCCGACCTTTAAAAAGGCTTCTTATTGGCAACTTTTGGATAACATTACAAGGAATTTAAAAAACAGAAAATAAATAAATAAATAAATAAACAAACAAACCACTCGCTGCCTTGAATGTGGGGTTAGATTGGCGCGAAAGTTTGCCCTTATTTTTAGTACGGAGAATGCTGTATAATTGAAAGTGCAGTCGAAATCTCAAAGCATGGAAGTGGAAACGAACGAAAAGGCCCTTGAAATGGAAATCGAAGAAGCAGCCATTCCGATTCCAGTGTTGAAAGAGCCTCCGAAAATCCACCGACTTGACGAGTCCGTCGTCAACCGAATCGCCGCCGGTGAGGTCATCCAGCGGCCCGTCTCCGCCGTCAAAGAGCTCGTCGAGAACAGCCTCGACGCCCACTCCACCTCCATCAACGTCACCGTCAAGGACGGTGGCCTCAAGCTCATCCAAGTCTCCGACGACGGCCACGGAATCCGAGTAACCCCTTTGTCTCTCATCTTCTTCCAATTCACTACACTATATACGTATATACATATATAGAGAGAGATTGATTCTGGAATTTATTGTCGTAGTGATTGTTGTTGTTGGTTTTGATTAGTATGAGGATTTACCGATACTCTGCGAGAGGCACACGACTTCCAAGTTGTCTACATTTGAAGATTTACAGTCGATTAAGTCGATGGGGTTCAGAGGAGAGGCGTTGGCCAGCATGACCTATGTTGGTCATGTTACCGTCACTACCATTACCAAAGGCCAATTGCATGGTTACAGGTATGAATTGTCCGCACCGCCAGTTCGATTAAAGATTCATATAAAGCTGTTTTTACTCTAATAACTTTGGTTGTGATATACATATATAACTGTGAATGAAGGTTACCTATATTGCATACAAGTTACAATCTTGGATGTGACTTTGTGTATCTATATGTTTAGGGTCTGTTGTGTCATTTATCTTGCATTTGGCTTCAATTCTGTTTTTAATGGAAATTATAATTTTTTTTTTTTTTTTGTTGTTGCTTGTGTGTGCTTTATTTTTGTTTTAGGCCTTTCTTTGCATATGATTTTGCCACATGCATCGTCTCTGGCATGCATATTTATCTATTTCTGAAAGTGGAAATGTGTTGTTCAGGGTATCATACAGAGATGGTGTGATGGAGCATGAACCGAAAGCATGTGCTGCTGTAAAGGGAACTCAGATAATGGTATGGACTGGATCTTTCGCCTTTCTCAACAAATATGAGAAAATCATTGCATTAGAATAATTGTGGATGGTTAGGAATATGTGAAAAACAATTGAAGGGGATTAAGTACTGAAGTTTGAGACTGAGAAAACCGATGACAACCAGCAAATTTAAGAATAAGGAAAGCGAAAAACAAATCTGTGGAGAAAGGAAACTAATATGTTATGATTCTAGAATTATTTGGAATAGTTCATGACTTCCCCCAAAAATATGAGAATTATCAATATTTTTGGGAAATCCATTGGTCATTGTGTTATTTGAATTGTAGGATACACTGTAAGTTTTATGAGACAAGTATAATTTACAAAATTTTTTTGCCCTAATCTATTTGTCTTGGATGTTGTGGCTTTTTATCAGATTGAGAATTTGTTTTATAACATGACTGCTCGGAGAAAAACACTTCAGAACTCTGCTGATGATTATCCTAAAATTGTAGATATGCTAAGCAGGTTTGCCATTCATCACATAAATGCTAGCTTCTCCTGTAGAAAGGTTTGTCTTTTCACCATTCGTGCTCGTCTTTATCATGTTGTAAACTTTTCTTTCTCTCCTAACTTCTTTAACCTGATGAGAAATATTTCTTCATATTACTCTTCCATTGTATGCAGCATGGAGCTGCTAGAGCAGATGTTCACTCAGTCGCCACGTCCTCAAGGCTTGGTGCGATCGGATCTGTTTATGGGGTGTCAGTTGCTCGCAATGTAATGAAAATAGAAGTTTGTGATGATGATCCATCTACCTCAGTATTTGAAATGGATGGTTTCATCTCCAATTCTAATTATGCTGCGAAGAAGATAACAATGGTACTTTTTATCAATGGTATGTATCAGCAATATTATACTGGGATAATATTTTTAATTTTGTGGTCTGTTAGGGTTCTATTTCATATATGTTTTTTCCCCCTAAATGGAATTGTATTAAAAAGAAAACAAAAAAGTACTGGAGGAGAAGTGAGGGCATACCCTCACATTACAAAACTCCATTTCCAGTAAACACAGAACAAGAAAATAAGAGAAGACATCAAAATAAAAGCATTACATCCCATGCCAATCAGAAATCGAAATTCCTTCAATATAAAAAACATCCCAAATTACCTTTGTTGCCACAGCTGAAACAAAAGAGATTGATCTCTGATGAAGTGCCAAGTTCCTAGCCTTCCAATTGCCCCAAACTGCACTAGTGAACACCATTCTAAAAATACGATTCTTCTGAGATTTATCTTTGAAAAGCATTGACTCTCCACTGAATCAACTGACCAAAGGTGGAGCTGCAGGGATAGACCCTCCAATACAAGCCATGATACACTGTCATACTTGGGCAAAAATGCATTGCCAAAAAAATGATCTGCTGAGTCACTATTCTTAAAACAGTTATGACAAATGGGCACAACTTAAAGACCTCTCCTCTGCAAGTTTACCAAGAAGTGAGTTTATCAAGAACAGCAAGAGCAGTGGTAACAGCTGCTCCAGGTCTACCTTTATTCCATACCAAAGAGGCCCATGTAACTTTAGATTAACAAATTCTAATTCGGTCCCAAACAGACCTGAAAGCACATCTACCTTATCTCCACTGAATTGGATCCTCACCTTGAGCAATATGAACAGCAGAGATAGGATTCAAAGAGAATCAGGGACTGCCATTATTTGGTCTGATCCAAGAGTTGCATGAATAACAGAGGAGAGTAGGGAATCTTTCCTCAGCCCCAACACAGTCAACACCTTATATCCAAAAGAGCTAGAGAGAGAGTCATTACTAAACCATGGGCCATTTTATATGCTGAAACTGTTAACATTTCCCACTCTAAATTCAATATGTTGCAACAGCTGATGAAAATAAAAGTTTGTGATGATGATCCATCTACTTCAGTATTTGAAATGGATGGTTTAATTTCCAATTCTAATTACGTTGAAATGAAGATAACAACAGTACTTTTTATCTATGATATTATTAGCAATATAATATTGGGATAAGATTTTTAATTTTGTGGACTGTTATGGATCTTAGGGTTATATTTCATATATGTAGGGTACCTGGGTTTACATGCATGTCCAAGGTCTTTTGTTCTTCTTGGCATCTGTTATTTTGGTACAAATATTTGTCAATGAATAAATTGGTCTTTTTCATATGAATCCCTGAATCCCATTTGTTCGCCTTACCACTCGGCCATGCCGCCAAAACTATAGAAAACACCAAAGATTCAACTCCTAAGGAATCATTAAAAATGGTTTAAAAATGTTTATAATTGAAAGTATGCTCTATCATGTGAATATGGTAGTTATTGGTGACTACTGAACACAAATGTTTACCTTCAACTATTTTCTTTTATTGCTGGCTGGTAGGACCTATAATTGCTTTTATACTTGTAACTACAGGTGATGTTTATCGAGGAAAAGGGTGATTTCTATTTTGAATATAAAGTGGCTTGCTAATCTTCCAGGATGGATTGTTGCTATATTACTTCTGGTGAAAGATTAATAATCTAAAATAATATTCATTCTGGAAGGCTTTCTCAGTCAATTCTGATGTTAGTGTTTGCATTTGGCAATAAGTGATAATTAAATTGGTTCTCCTCACTTGCTGTTCTAGCCAGTTTACAAGCAACCTTTTGAAATATGAGAATTTCTTAGATAAAGTATAGTTGTGTCTTCGACTGGAGCAACTTTCTCATCATCAAGTTTGAGCTTTTGGGTCCTAATTACTTTCATTAGTGGAGATAACAATCCTTCCGTCTCTTGTGCCATCATCTACTGCAGTACCGTCCGGTCTCACTTCTGCCGTTAATTCCGCACTTTTTTCCCTGGGTGGGACTAAATGGATATCATAATCACCAAGATTCTTCTCCCTGAAATTACCTTGCAATCCTGGATTAATCTTGTGTATTCTGAAATAAGTATATATGTAAAACAATTAACGTTGTACTTACAACCTTGGTTGGAAAATGTTTTTTTTTTTTTTTTTTTTTTTGGGGGGGGGGGGGGAGTTGATGGATTGGAAAGGAGCCATGCTTTGTTGGCTATGTTCTCTAATCAGCTCCAGATGTAAATAGGCGAATTGGCATGCTGGGTTTTTGTTTGAGGGTTTTGGCAGTGGGTCATATAAACCCCAAAAGCTATGTTCTGAATGGGAAGTGTTGGGGTTTGGCTTTCTCAATTTCCATGATAACAAAACATGGGGAGAAGCAAATGTGAGATGAAGCATGGAGAAATGGATTTTTATTTTTTATTTTTGTAACTATGTTTCTTTTGAATTCTTATTATATTGGTTTCTATTGGCCCTTAATATTTTTTGGGTTCAGCAGCCTCAAATTTTACGACAGTATATAAGAGAAGCAATTGGGAGAGAAAGCATGGAGAAATGATTTTTTGTGATACCATGCCTCCTTTCTTTTCTTACTTTTTTTGGTTTCTATTGACCTTTTTTTTATTTATTTACTTTTTTGGTGACATCAGCTAGCACAAAAAATTTAACTTCTCTCAAAAGATAAGTTACACAAAAGCACTTAGCATGCACCCTTAGTATAATAATTGTTGTTATTATTTTTAATTTTCTTCTTCAACTACAATAGGAAACTGTTAGCAGATCTGATAGCCACAATTTATGGAATAACTTACCGTATTAGCAGAGATTTGATTATGCTATAGAATATGATGTGATTTGATTTAGTTTCATTTCTTGTAATATGAGCATGTGCACTTTATATCTATAAATACTAGAGCCATGAATGAGTGATTTATCTCATTCAATCCTTTTACATATTTCTCTTTTCTTTCTTCTATATTATATTTCTACTTGGTATCAGAGCCAACACCTTTCCACACCTTTCAACAGCCTTGTTACTTGTGCAACAACGTCCTTAGGCTGTTTGTGACATCGTGTGACGTTGCCTACACATGTCTTTTCTGTGTTGCTGTTCTGTGATCGAAAACATGTATTTTTAAGTTTTACAATTTCTTTTTTACTCTTCTAGGGTTGGATAAATTGGGATAGTTGGTCTTTAACACCTAGAAGGGCTTGGGTAAAAAAAAATTTAGTCCACAAAGAGGTTCCGGATATTAAGGAGGTTGTTTGGCTATATGTAAGCGGGCAACGCTCCTTAAAAAAAGTATGTACTTGGTTTCAGAGCCGGGGTGGTCCGACTGCAATGAGGGCATGGCAAGTTCGGCACCACCCATTCGGGAATGGTCTAAGGTGACATCGCTCATCCGGGAGGTGTCGGGTAGGCAGGGTGGTCCGACTTCAATGAGGGAGTTGCGAGTTTGGCACCACCTGACAACGCTCATCTGGGAGGTGTCGGGTAGGTAGGGTGGTTCGACTTCAATGAGGATGTTGCGACTTCGGCACCACCCATTCAGAAATGGTCTGAGGAGACATAGTTATTTCTTTTTTATGGTCTGAGGAGACATTGTTGATTCTTTCATTTACATTGTTTAAACATATGTATAAAGGGGAATGGTCTGAGGAGACATTGTTAATTCTTCCATCTACATGTTTTAAACATGCGAAGGGAAATGGTCCGAGGAGACATTAATTGGTTGTTTACGGTTTGAGGAGACATGATTGGTTGTTTATTGTCTGAGGAGACATTGTTAATTGTTTATGGTCTGAGGAGACATTTTTGATTTGTTGATCAGCACTTCATTTGAGAGAAAATCATCGCTAGTCAAATTTGAACTCTTCAACTTGTAGATTTTGAGGAAGGGTGCTGACAAGACCGTGTTTGAAGATGCATTGTCCAAGTTGGGCGTCTCAAATATTCATGCACCAACTTGAGGGGAGTGTTAGTAGATCTAATAGCCACAATTTATGGAATGACTTACCGTATTAGCAGATATTTGATTATGCTATAGAATATGATGTGATTTGGTTTAGTTTCATTTCTTGTAATATGAGCATGTGCACTTTATATCTATAAATACTAGAGCCATGAATGAGTGATTTATCTCATTCAAACCTTTTACATATTTCTCTTCTCTTTCTTCTATATTATATTTCTATTGAAACAAAATTTCATTACTGAAAAGGAATACCATAGAGGACATGGTTTATTTGGAGACGTAGAAATGCAAAACCAAATAGAGAAAACAAACCATTAAGGGGGATTGAACGAACATTTTACTCTTCAAATCTGCTCATTTTTTAGTAGATCTATAAACCCTGTATTTGAAATACTTCAGGCGTTGGGAATATCAATTATGTCATGCTTGTGATGAGTGATATAAAAAAGTGTGGGGTATAGTCTTATTCCAGCTACTAAGAATTTGACATATCCTTCAACATGAATATTTGTTCAATCTCCATTATTGGCTTTTCTATCGCTGGTCAATAAAGTCAGAACCACAGCCTTTACAGCTTGGCTTTTACGTAAGGCATAATGAAGCTGTAAAACCACCTTCGCCTAGTTGATTATTGACCAGTGTGAAGCACCATGAGATCCCCTTGAACTGATCTATATGCAAAATCTCTTCATATGCCATGTACTTTGTAGAAGATATCCCATTATATTGTCTGTTGTCACTTAAATTCCATCATTACTTGTTGATAGTGATTGTCTCTTCTCTTGGTTATGCAATTTTATTATATTTTTTTATGCTTCTTTTTCTGGTTTGATGTTATAGTGATTCTAGTTCTGCTTATATTAGTTTTCCTTACAAGCTTCATCACAACACAGAAATCTAAAATTTGCAAATAGTTTTGCAAATATTATTGTCTAGGAAACAAGCTCAGGAAGTTGTTATCTCTCTCTGTGTGTTTTTTCTCTCTCTTTCAATTTATGGCATGATTTTGACTAATAAACACCTGAATTCCTATTTGTTTAATTATTGTTGATATTTGCACAAATTTATTTTAGTTAATCCATTATCATAGTTCCTGTTTTATGGATTCATTCGATTTCTTTATTTTCTTTTCCAGATAGATTAGTTGAGTGCAGTGCCTTAAAAAGGGCTCTTGAAATTGTTTATGCTGCAACCTTTCCTAAAGCATCAAAACCCTTCATATATATGTCAATCTTATTGCCACCTGAGCATGTTGATGTGAATGTACACCCTACAAAGAAAGAGGTATGAGTTTTTCCTGTGGTTAACTCTTAAAAACTAATAATTATTTCTGGCTAATAATAGGGGTTGTCTATTGGTGAATGTTTTTTCTTCCAGATTGTCTTACTGCTTGCTTTATATCTTGAACCATATATATATATATGGATATATATGTTGTTTACATGAAACCTAATAATCTTAGATTCTTCATCTAATGTAACAACATCAATTTTCTGGCCCTAGACATGGGTATTTGCTTGGAAGACTTTGTAAAACCAAGAGCCTTTTGATTTGATCGATATGCACAATTTGGTTTGTGTATTAAGTAATATGAACTGCGTAATATGTTAGTAAGTATCAAATATTCTATGATCCACTATCCCGTTCTTTTATCGTATGTTTTGTTTTGTTTTTTTTTTTTTTAATACTTTTAACTTATCTAGTATTTTGTTTATAGAATTACAGTATATGTACACGAGTAGGATAATTGCAAACAAACACTAAACATACACTTTGTGAAAACACTTGGAAAATATTATGCGTTAGTGTTGCAAGTGGAATACTTTGTTCAGACACATAGAAAGGGAAATGAGGAAGACTGATGATTAGCCAAGAAATACTGAAGCAAAAACTTTTTAATTGCTACCCTTGCTCATTCATAATGAGAAAGAGAGTGGAGAGGACGTGTCACATTAAAGATGGATGAATGAAGTGGAGTACACTAATTAAATTGAAAGGATGTTAAATATATATATATATATATATATATATATTTCAACAAGACTTGATGGAGAACGAGATGTGACCGTATGCATGAGCTACCCATGTCTGCTTGGAGAACGAGATGTGACCCGTATGCATGAGCTACCCGTATACAAGAATAGGTAATTAGATATACCTTAGCAATGTTTGAATTTTAGGGAATTTTTGGTATTTTGATGTTTTAGGGTTTATTCATATTGTGCCTAGATAAAGGGCTGTATATAATAGACAATTCAGCTTTGATTATTTGAATACTATCGTGGTTTTTGAATTCTCTCTATCTTCTTTTTTCTTTATCATTTCAACCATTCAATCGACCCTACCTAGCTTTCAATCTGTTTTCTCACCTCCATCATTTCCCCTTATCTCATGATTCTCATCTTCTTTCTCATCCCATTCTTTTTTCTAATCTAAATCAACTTGGTAAGGTTTTAGAATATCAAAGTATCTATTTTTACATGTATATGTGTATTTTTTGATAAGTTAAACAAAATGCCATGTGCCGACCTTGTGGGCGGGTGTGCGGGGGCGGGTGCAAGGCAACGGCAGGCTACAGGTGCGATCCCACATCGCCTGGGTAAGGTGAAGGTGAAGTGCTTATGTGCTAGTGTTATCGCCAAATGGTATGAAGTCTTTTGGGATAAAACCTAAGAGAAAAATTGTGTAGGTTCGGGCCCATAGCGGACAACATCATACCATGTGATGTAGTGGGCTGTTACAAATGATCTCAAAGCTGGAGCCCAGTCGGAAGTGTGGCAAATGAGGATGTTGGGCCCCTTTGGGGGGAGATTGTGGCGATTTTGTGGGCAGGTGTGCATGGGCGAGTGTGAGGCATTGGTAAGCTATGGTTGCACAATTCCACATCGCCTGGGTAAAGTGAAGGTGAAGTGCTTATATGTGCTACTGCTGTCTTCAAATGTTATGAGACATATTGGGGTAAAACCCAAGAGAAAAACTGTGTGGGCTCAGGTCGAAAGCGGATAATATCATACCATGTGGTGGAGTGGGCTGTTACAAATGGTATCAGAGACGGAATTGTGGCCAACGTCCCCTGGGGGGGGGGGGGGGGGGGTGATTTTGGCGACCTTGTGGATGGGTGTGAGGCATTGGTAGGCTACCATGCTGGTAGGCTATGGGTACACTATCCCACATCGCCTGGTTAAGGTGAAGGTAAAGTGCTTATATGTACTAGTGTCATCTCCAAATGGTACGAGGCCTTTTGGGGTAAAACTCAAGAACAAAACCGTGCAGTCTCAGGCCCAAAGTGGACAATATCATCCATGTGGTGGAGTGAGCTATGACATGCCCTCCCTAGTTTGTAATGTTATAAGTTTGGCCCGTGGTTTCTAATATTATTAGTTTGTCTATAAACCAAAAATATCAAATTCAATCATGTGGTGGAGTGGGCTGATAAATGCGTATTATTTCTGTAATTATATTTATACCTTTGTCCTTGGATCTCATACATAGAATTACAATGCTTTTTTCTTCTTTTGTTAATGTGATTTAGGGATTTTACATAACTCTTCTCTATTTTTGTACATTATTTTCTATCTTTGTAAATTATGCTAATATGTTTTGTTTGTTTGTTATGTAAATATAACTCTATAACTCTCATGAAAGGATATGTGGTCATAATTAAACCAATGTGCTGAATATTTAATTACCACACCATCCTTTTATTACATATTCAATCACTCTGTTATTTATTTTATTTATTTATTAATTTTCTTTTTACCAAGTACACTGCCGACCCCTCCTGCAATGAAATCCTGGCTCCGTCTCTGTGGGTCACATCTCGTTCTTCATCAAGACTAGTAATGCCTAGGGTGTAAAATTTTAAGGAATTTGGAAGATGTTCATAAGTTGTCTTATCAAAAAGGGAACATGTTAATAAGATTGGTGTAAATGAAATGTGGGTGTTGAGATGGACGTGTAGCAAGACAACAAATGTTTCGGATACATTCACAAAAAGTTAGAAGTAGAACGAATTGATGGTGAAGTGAAAGCAAATTGGCCTAGAATCAAGATGGTTTTGCCATGCATTATTGCAACCAATGGGGCACTATGAAGCAAGAGTGAAATGTCCCTCCCATAAATGTGTTTCTAGGATAAGGACATGGTGGTTCAGAGCAACTGAAACGTTGGAGCTGGATAGAGTGGAATGCTGAAGCATAAGAATGTTTGGAAGAAGACTTTAGTTCTAAGTGGAACAGGACCAATTATCTATAACTTGAGCCTAGTTCGAGTTTGTTGTGGGCTTGGACTAATATTTATATACTTGGTTTGGGCTTGGGCTGAGGCTACAAAGGCTTGACTGACGTGCTTGAAGCTTATTATTTTAAATTATCTGTGTGAACATGTGAAGGTTTTATGCATGTAAAATAAGAATAATTTTATTGCTTATGCATTTGTGTAGACAATGTGTTACCGAGGGGTACTACTTGGTAGAGGTCGCCTAGATTGCTTAACTTCATCGAGTATACCTTGAAATGAAAAACCAACAAACTGTATTTGAAAAAAGAACCAGTAATATTCTCTGCTGTTCTTTTTATTATTGATTGTTTTGTACTGGAATTGTTTATCTATTTAAGTTCGTGTGTGAATTAGAACATTGTTTGCGGATATGCAGGTAAGTCTTTTGAATCAGGAAGTTATTATTGAAAAGATACAGTCTGCCGTTGAATCAAAATTGAGAAACTCCAATGATGCAAGGACATTTCAGGAACAGGTATATTGCAAACTTGGTGTATGAGCTCAAGTAGATACTTTTCAGCATTTGATAAGAAAATTTTTGGTTCTTTAAACTCAATAAATAGTTTGATTACTGCCCCTTGTATTACCTTAATGAGCTTTATGTAGGAGGGTATAATAACTGAAAGAGGGCACATGTCATTCATGTTTCCTTCCATAGGACATGCTAGATTTTCTGGTGTTCCAAGTTTCGGTTGCTACGTTCTATATCTTCTTTTTGTACCTAAATGTTCCATAATCTAGTTTACAATGATCTTATTACAAAATGCTGTATGATGGTGCAAAACCACCAAAATTACCTACGCTGTAAATTACTGAAAACTAGATTTATTCCTACCAACCAATATGACCCCTCATATGTCGCTCGATAGGCTAACATTACATAACTTCACTTGATCATGGAATGCAGATAGCAAGTCATTATTTGAACCCAACATTGCAAAGTAACCTAATACCATCCCAATAGACAGGCTAAGCTTTGAAGTTTTATATCTAAATAGTAGCAATGTAATTGCAAACATGGGACACTTATAACGTAGATAAGGTGTGGAAACAGTAGTTTTTGTTTTTGTTTTTAAATGGAAAACAGTTGCAACTTCTTCTTACCTGCATTATCTGTTGAGTTCCTCTCTCTCTTTCTCTACATCTGTCTATCTATCTTTATCCTTCTCTAAATTAAGAATTCGTACTTCCTGTGCTGGTGCTGTTTCTGCTTTGCTCTGCATTTTGGACAAATACGTACTTCCAAAATGTTTCACTTATTTTGGACATCTTTGGTTTCATGTATGAGGCAGAGCCTTGATCCCTCTCCATCCAGTCTTGTGCCTACAACCATTAGTCCACCTTCTGGTATGCAGAATTTTTTCTATTTTATTTCTGTTGGCTGGACTCAACTCTTGGCATGTCTAATAAGTATATTTGTTTGTTCCATATTGTTGCCTCGTCCTTTACAGGTTCAAAATTGCAAAAGGTTCCAGTGAATAAGATGGTACGGACTGATTCACTGGATCCTGCTGGAAGGTTGCATGCCTACTTGCAAGCTAAGGCTCCTGGTCAACTTGAAAGAAACTGTAGCTTGACCTCTGTGCGGTACGGTCTATATGTTCATCCATATAACTTCAATTACTCAGACAGACACTTCTATACGCTGTTACAGATGAATGTGAAAATTGCATAAGCATTGATAGCAAACCATGTGGAGCAAAATGAGTCACTGTTTAGTCAGTATTTCTCTATGTGGAATATATATAAGGATAGTTATTATTTTTACTTGTTATTATGTTTATTTCGGGATTAGACCTACTCAAATCAAGGTATCAACAAAGGAATGCACAAATCCAGTTTAACACAGATGAGAGCCGTGACACCCAAGGTCCACTAGCTCCATGATCCTCCGCGACTCCATGATCCATGATCATTATGGTTCTTTGACCCTTAATTGTTTTACTTCTGACATTATGTTTTCATGATTGAAACCTCCTTCAGTGATGTTGTCGTGATCATTAATTCGATTGCACACAAATACCAGAAATATACACCAGATAGTGCAGGCTTGAGACTAGTTGATCATAATAGAGTGACATTATACAGAGATATAATGAGCAAAACCCATGATATCATAATGATATATTCCTCTTTGTTATAGCAGAAGATGAAGGAGATAATGTTTTATTATCTAATCAAGTTATTTCTTAAAATTCTCTGCAATTGAGTTTTAGAAGTTGAGTAATTGGAAGATGTAGCCAGCTTCCAAAAAGTTGTATCAAGTTTTTGGGTGGATATCTGGAGGATCGTTTGGTTGGTTATAGACTGAAGGTTCATTCTTCTTTAGTCTTCTTTTTCTTTTTCTTTTCCCCCAACCTAAAATAGAGATTATATAGCGTTCCTTCCATGTTCATAAATTCTGACACACTCCCGATCCTTCTAAATTTACCTGTACTAGGTGAACCTTTATTTATTTTTGACCAGCTTTATTAGAGACTTTGCCTCCTAGGAGATATGATTAGTCTTGTCCATTGTCATCCGGCCAATTCGTTTTCTATCACATATATCTGGCGTTGGTTTATTTTGGAATTTATTTCTCCTTGAGAAATGTTCTCAGAGACTGGTTTTAGAGGGCACTTTGCTGTAGTGCAAAACGACCTTGCTTCCACTGGGGCAACTGTAAAAAGAGAAGAATTTATGGATTTGTGGTGATACTTCTTACGCTTTTCTTGTTGCCACAAGAATTAGTGATGCATTTTGAAGAAGTCTCTCTTAGTGCGTGGAAGGGTATATGCCTTGTTAGCCTTCATGCTTTGATGTTGGGCTGTCTTTTTGCAATCTGTTTCTTCCTTTTTTTAACTTTCCACTTCTATAATTTCTTCAGAATATAAGATCAAATTTCCTAATAGTATTTTTCCAGTCACAAGTAAGTTTTTACTGTATGTATACTTATATCAAAGAACTTGAGTGCAGGTCTTCTGTCAGACAGAGGAGGAACCTAAAGGAAACTGCAGATCTTACTAGTGTTCAGGAGCTTATTGATGATATTGATTGTAATTGTCATTCTGGTAGGTGTTAACCAAACTCATCTCTGTTGACAATGAAACAATATCGTAGATTTGAACAAATTTTAACTAGTGCATCCTACTAATATATAGCTTTACAGGTCTGCTGGACATTGTAAGACACTGCACATATATTGGGATGGCGGATGATGTTTTTGCGCTGTTTCAGTATAATACTGACCTATATCTTGTAAACGTAGTGAACTTGAGGTAATTATACTGTTTTACATGTTTCCTGAAATAATGTGGAATCAAATATAGAACAGCCAAGTATGAGGAAAATTTTCTTGCCAAAATTCACATTCATTATATTTGTTTCCAAAACCTTTTTAACTGATGAAGTTAAAAGATGCATTCAATTTTACTTTCCACTGATGAAGTTGTGCACTCAATTCTATTTTCCGAAACTATTTTGTGCCTACTGTTTGTGCTCTGTTCTTTAAATTTTTACTACTCAGTGACAACGAGTAATTTTTCCAAGATAAATTTTTTTCCCCCAGCTATCAGTGCAACAAAACAACAAATAGAAAAATAGATGTGCAATTACAATGCAGTAATCAAGATTCATATAGTATGTTACTTGTCAAAAAAAAGATTCAGATAGTGTTCACAAAAGAATTTCAGTAAAAAAAATAAAAAATACAGACACTAAGTTCATAGAATTGAAGAAATAAAATTAAAGAAGAAGAGAAAAATAGAATAACAAGAGAGAAAAAAGATGAGTGCACCAAGAATAAATTTTAAGAAGCGACAAAAAGAAGATTTGGGTCTTGGCTTACTCAAACCGAGAGCCAAGAGCTATATTTATATACAAGAATGGGGTTCAAAGAAAGGAAACCAAATCAAAGAAAAACTAAAAATTTGCCAAAATCTATGTGATCCCATGATTATGGGGATCTTATCTACGTGATCCTATGATAATAGGGATCTTACATAAAACACCTAAAAAAAGGCTGAAAACAACTAATAAAAAAAAAAAAATAATAATAATACAAATATTTCAACACTTCCCCTTAAGCCGGAGTGAAGATATCAATCAAGCCCAGCTTGGTAATCGAGGAATGAAGCAATGATGGACAAACGGATTTGGTGAACACATCTGCTCACTGATTAGAGAACCGAACAAAGCACGGCTTGATAATTCCCGAACGAACTCTATCTCTGATAAAATGAATGTCCACCTCTATATGTTTAATCCTCTTATGAAGAACAGAATCTGAAGCAAGCATGATGGCTGACTTATTATCATAAAACAAGTCTGAGGATTGTTTTTCACTTAGCCCTAATTCCTCCAAGAAAGATCGAAGCCAGAGAATCTCACAAGTACCCTGGGCTATGGCACAATACTCAGCCTTTGCTGAAGATCTTGAAACTACAGGTTGCTTCTTACTTTTCCAGGATATAAGATGATCTCCATAGAAAGTACAGAAGCCAGATGTGGAACGCCAGTCAGTTTTGGACCCAGCATAGATTGCATCACTGAAACAGGATAACCTAACCTACCTGCTAGAAGAATAGGATAATCCAAGTCTAGGACAGGACTTAAGATATCGAAGAATATGATACCGCATCCATATGAGCTGTACGAGGAGCATGCATAAACTGACCCACAAAACTAACAACAAAAGCCAAATCAGGACGGGTGTTGGTAAGATAAATCAATCTTCCTACCAAGCGCTGATATTGCGAGGGATCAGAAAGGAGATCTTCAGACTCAATCGAGTTCTTCATATTAGGATCTATAGGAGTGGAAGCAGGTTTACACCCAAGCATACCTGTGTCTCGAAGAAGATCCAAGACATACTTCCTTTGCGATAAAGAGATACCCTTCTTAGATCTAGTAACCTCAATTCCTAAAAAATATCTGAGCTGCCTAAGGTTTTTCACATCAAAAGCTTTAGCCAATTGAAGCTTTAGTTGAGCAATCCCAGGGATGTCATTGCCAGTAATGATGATATCATTAACATAGACAAGAAGAATGATACATAGACCAGTCGAGGAGTGGTGGATAAAACATGTATGGTCAGAATGGCATCTAACAAACTCCATGGATAAAATTACATCACTGAAGCGGTTGAACCAAGATCTAGGAGATTGTTTTAACCCATACAAAGACTTCCGCAATCGACATACCTTTCCAGCATACTCCCCCTCAGCCCGAAAACTGGGTGGAGGATCCATATAAATAGTCTCAAGAAGATCACCATTAAGGAAAGCATTCTTCACATCAAGCTGATGAAGAGGCCAACTGTGAGAGGTAGCCAGGGAGATAAGCAAACGAACTGAGGTCAATTCAGCCACTGGAGCGAAGGTATCATTAATGTCTTTACCAGGAATTTGAGTAAACCCTTTGGCCACTAAATGGGCCTTATACCAATTAATAGAGCCATCAACCAAATATTTAATACTGAATATCCATTTGCAACTAACAGTCTTTTCACCAGGAGGGAGAGATACAAGCTCCTATGTTTCATTTTGCTGCAAATCATCCATTTCTACCATCATAGCAGACATCCAATTGGGATTCAGGAGAGCCTCAGAGACATTTCTGGGAATGGAAATGGAATCAAATTTGCGTAGAAAGGCTCAGTAAGACCCTGAAAGACCATCATAAGAGATATATTGCGAAATAGGATGATCAGTACTACAAGCAAATCCAAATCGAGCAGGGGGTTTGCGGTCCTGAGTGGGATACCGAGACTCAGGAACAGGGTCAGGGAAATGTAAAGGAAAGAGAGGAGATGTACCTGAACCTATATCTGAGGAGGATGAAGGCAGTGGAGGCGGAGCACGAGGGCGGCGAGAATAGACCTGAAAAGGGGTTGAGGATATCACAAGGGAAGACTCTTCTTGAAAAATAGGAAAGAGGACGAGCAAGAGAAGCCTCTTGGTCGGGAGTAAAAGTTTCTTGCAAGATAATGTTAGAACCATAAAAGGGGTATGCTTATGAAATGTGACATCAAGAGAGTGATACATGTGTTTGTGTACAGGATCATGACACCGGTAACCTTTTGACATTGAAGAGTATCCTACAAAGATACATTTAATGGCCTTGTCATCAAGTTTAGTATGAGAAGGGCTACGATTCTGAACAAAACATGTATATCCAAACACCCGAGGCATGATGGAAAAAAGAGTAATATCAGGCTGAAGCACTTGTAAAGGGGCCTTACCATTTAATACTCTACTAGGGGTGCGATTAATGAGAAAAGTAACTGTAAGAAACGCTATGTGCCAGTGTGACTTTAGCACTTTCATTCCACTTAAATGACATCGAACAACTGACATTAGTTGGCGGTTTTTACGCTCTGCCACAACTGACAAGTAAGTTAATGAAGAATACCTTGTCGGTTAAGTTGAGACCGAAACTCATTGGAAACATATTCATGACCATTGTCAGACCTAATATTCCTAACAACAGTTTTATATTGAGTTTTGATCATTTGGAGGAATAGAGTGATCAAGGGAAAAACTTTAGATTTCTTTTAAAGTAAATATACCCATGTGCAGCGGGAATAATCATCAATGAATGTGACATAATATCGATTCCCCGAAAAAGCAATAACGGGTGAAGGACCCCACACATCAGAATGTATGAGATCAAACATACTAGGTGCACGATGCATATGAAATATAATTGGTTCTAGTATGTTTAGAAAGTTCACAAATCTCACATTGAAACTTATTATCCTTACAAGCCGTTATTAATGAAGGGAAAAACAGACATAAATACTAAAAGTTTACATGCCCAAGGCGAGCATGTCATAGATTTAAAGTCTGAAAAGAAAAATCATAAGACCTAGAAACTGGAAGAACAGAGGCTTGAAGGCTTGAAGCAAGTGGAGGAGGTGTCGGCGGAGGATCCCTAAAGCAGTAGAGGCCATCATGCTTATATTCCCTGCTAAAAATCCTCTTCGAGCACAAGTCTTGTAAAACACAATAATGAGGAAAGAAAATCACAGCACAATTTACTGATTTGGCAAGTTTGCTAACAGATAGAAGATTAAATGCAAAGTTAGGAATATGAAGAACAGATGGCAAAATAATATCAGGGGATAGATGAACATCTCTTTTACTACGAATAATGGTGGTTGACCCATCGATTAGACTAACAGCCTGATTAACAGGGGTAACAGGAGTAGAAAATAATGACAACTCACAAGTCATGTGATCATTGGCTCCGGAATTCAGAACCTAAATAGGTTCCCGCTTTAACATGAAAAGCAGGAGTACCTGTAGCTATAGTAGCCATGGGAATAGAAGAGCCAACCCTGGTATATAAAGCTCCAAACTGCTCATGAAGCTGACCAATCTGGGACTGTAACTGATTGAAGTCCTGAAAAGATGGTCTGGGAGGAGTTGAAGTAGGAGGGACAACAATCTGTGGAATAGTATACCACCAGTAGTACCGGCTACTGCGGCCACGGCCAGAAGGATGATTGCGAGAAAATTTCTGCTTTAGCAACGATCCTTTACATGACCCTGTGGCTCCACAATGTTGACAAATAAATTTTCCCTCTGAAAGTCTAGAATTAGCAGCAAGAGCCATCTGATCCACTTGAATCTCTGGTAAAGCTACTGGCTGAGAGATCTGACGTCTATGCTCCTCATGGTTAACAGTAGCGAAGGCATCATATAAATCAGGCATAGGAGAGGTGTTTATGATTTGAGTTCTAAGAGCATCATACTCAGATCGTAAACCCATCAAAAACTAGTAGGTATGTTGGCGGTCAAGTCTCTTGACCAAAAGAGTTGCAGCTTCTTTAGAGAAATCAGAGAGGTTCATACTGTGCTAATTCTTCCCACCTAGACTGGAGGTACCCAAAATATTTTGATACTGACAGATTGAGTGTCTCCTAAGATGCATGAGCAATCTCCTGATAGAGTTCAAAGATATGCGGGAATCGGCATACATCTTGTTAAGAGCTTACCACAGATGAAAAACGGAAATGTGAAACATGAACATATTATAGATACGCTCCTCCATTGAGTTGAAGATCCAACCCAGAATGGTGCACCTGTCCATGTCCCATGCAGTATATTTAGTATTCGTCTTTTCTGGTTCCTTGACTAGACCCAAAAGCCAACCAGTTTTCCCTTTCCCTCTAACATAGAGTTGAAGAGAACGGGACCAAGATACAAAATTGTGCCCATTCAAGAGCACACTAGTAAGTAGTAACCCGTTGTGTCGGAGTAAGATGTGCCGAAGATAAAGTCTGCTGGACCGAGGATAAATGGTCCTTTGGCTACTAGAATCAGTCATAGTACCAAAATAAGGCTGGTCCACATGTCAAAACAGGAGGAAAGAGAAAAAAACAAGGCCGGAAAAATCGGCCCTTTCCTCCAAATATGCTGCCGAACAAACACCGGCAACTCACAAAGAGAAAAAAACACCAGAAAGACTCTTAGGTCATAAAAAACCTAAGAGGAGATGGAGGTTCGCTGAAGGTAAGGGAAAATGTAGAGAGGGAGAGAGAAGGTGGCGGCGTTGGGGAGGAAGATGGGGAGACGAAGGTTTTTGTTTTGCTCTGATTCCAAAAAGAAGTTTTGGGTTTTGGCTTACTCAAATCGAGAGCCAAGAGCTATATTTATATACAAGAATAAGGTTCAAAGAAAGGAAACCAAATTAAAAAAAATAGGAAATATGCCAAAATCTACGTGATCCCATGATTATGGGGATCTTATCTATGTGATCCCATGATAATAGGGATCTTACATAAAACACCTAATAAAAGGTTGAAAACAGCTAATAAAAAATAATAATAAATAATAATACAAATATTTCAACAAAGAGAAAAAAAAAAAAAAAAAGGTGAGAAAAGAAAAATGAGAAAACTTTGAAGGGTAGAAAATAGGGTTTGATTAAAGAAGGGGAATACATTTTTTTTAAAAAAAATCCATTGAAGAGAACCAAATAAATTTAAAGAAGAAGAGGAGTAAAAGAGAGAAGATTTAGAGAGATCTCTAGAATGGTGGAATTTTAGGGAGGCGTTTTGCAAAATTTCACAAAATTATATGCATAGAAGTAAAAAAAAGAAATAATAATAATAATAATAATAATAATAATAATAATAATAATAAATAAATAAATAAATAAATGAGGGGCCAGGCTCAAAGCCCATGCTGGCTCCATGCCAGCCCCCACCCCTGCTTCCCTTCTCTTTTGCAGTCATTGATAAATGATGTTCCCATAAATTCAAGATGAATAACTGAAATTATTGATTCTGATAATTTTTTATTTTTGACCTTTTTGATAGACATACATTTTAAAAACCATTTGAGTTTGTATTATTTGTTTATCTTGTTCAAGTTGAGCTTGGAAGCAATGGCTGTAGATATTTTTTAATTTTATTTATTTATTTTTGTTGGTAAGTTGGCTTCTAGATATTGCCACTATATGTTGAGTGAATTAGATAACCATTAATTGCTGAAGTCATTCACTGACTTTTTATTTTTGATATTTCTGATAGACATTTAGCCTGACAACTTTTGATGCTTCTCTTTTATGTTTCTGGTTGAAGTTTATCCTTGAAGCACTGGCTACTAGATATTGCTAATTTTGGTTTTGTGATTTACAAAACCAGTTATAACTTATTTGATTCTTTTGTTTTCCTCCTCCTCCTTCTACTTTTTTTTTTTTTTTCCTTCACAGCAAAGAGCTCATGTATCAACAAGTTTTGCGTCGGTTTGCTCATTTTAATGCAATACAACTAAGTGATCCAGCTCCCCTGCCAGAGTTAATTATGCTAGCACTTAGAGAGGAGGATTTAGATGCAGAATGTAATGAGAATGACGACCTGAAAGAAAAGATCGCAGAAGTAACTTAATCTTAACCCAAACAAGAAAAATAAGTTTAAAAAAAAAAAAAATTATCCTGCGATATTTCATTCAGCTTGATGTGAATTTTGCTTCCACCATTTTGTTTCACCTCTCATATTGAGTTGGTTTAGACTTTTGATTCTCAATTATTGTATTGTTGTCGCCTGTTAACTATTTTGATCAATTTTCCCTCTTCATTATAAGTTACTTGCTTTGCTGCTAAATACATATTAATCAGAAGCATACTGCATCAGTTGAGTCTTCTCTCTAATATTATTCTTATTCATCTTCTTGTGCTTTTATATCGGTGTGCATCGGTGTATGTGTGTGTTTATAGGTGTGTATGTGTGTATATGTGTATAGTTGAGAACAGATGTATATATGTGTTTGTACATCGGTGTATATTTGAGTATAGGTGTATATGTTGAATATGTGCTTATATGTTTGTGTATATTGGCATTTGTATATAGGTAAATATATGTGCATAGTCTCTATATGTGTGTATATATAATAGACCTATAGGTGTCTATCAATGTTTATATAGGTCCTTATGAGTGTGTATTGGTGTATATGTGTGTAATTAACTGTATATATGTATATACTCCCTCCGTCCCACAATAAGTGTCCACCTTTCCATTTTTAGATGTCCCAAAATGATTGTCCCAATTGAAAAGTCAATGTACTAATTTTTTTGTAACATCACCAATTTAACCTTCTTGCATTGAAACTATAAAAAGTAAACCATCACATCACTGTGGACCCACTATGAGTAGATTGGTAATTCATTCACTACCAATACAAAAAATAACACTAAAATTCATCATCTTAAAAAGAGATTTCCAAAAAGGGACGGAGGCAGTATCATTTATATGTGTTTATCTGTGTATAGCGGTATATATGAGTGTATAGATGCAACTCAGAAAAGGGAAGACACTACCCGAACGTCAACCCCCAGCAGCCAAAGACAAAGGAAAAGAGAAGCCGATTGAGAGTGAAGAGGATGCCATCCCTCTCAACAAAAGAAAAACCCTCCAATGCCTAAAATATCTTTTCAAATTTCAAGAAACTTTCATTACTGTTCAATATATTTGATGCCCTATGCTTTTATTTATTTATTTATTTTGGAACTCACACACACATGTCTTCACTGAGGCTTGAATCCCTGACCTCCCTTTGGGAAGTAGGGGCTTGGTATCGCTAGGTCACTGGTTTGTTGGTATTTGATTCCCTATGCATGTCAAAAGTGCTACGGGACATCTTGATAAATGCTGTGCGATATCCTGAGCTATACCAAGCAAGCCTATTTTGCTGAAATTAACACAAAGGAGGTGCTCTACATTATGCACATGGCTTCGATCACTTTTAGCGAAATAGATAAACTACTGGGTGACAGGCCTGTGGTGTATATGTTTGTATTAGTTGTATATGGGTATATAAGCGTATATGTATAGCTGTATATATGTATGTGTATATAAATTTATATTTGATTGTAGGTATGTATATTTGTGTATAGGTGTGTTATGTATATAAGTATTTATTTATATGTATGTAGGTGTATATGTGTGTGTATATAACCTGCACATGGCACATGTAAACTATACCCACCTAGTTTGAAAGGCTCAGTAAGAGGCAGTCTCTAGTCTAGTCTAGGAGGGGTCATGTCTGAATCCAAACTAGCTGGAGATTTGCACATGACATTACACAATTTCATGATGCAAAAGTCAGACTAAGCCCTAAATGAGCAAGTCAATCAGAAAATAAACCTAGTTGATAAATCAAAATTTCCACTTTCCATTTCCAAAGCAGGGAACTCAAAACGTGGTTACTGCCTACTGGTTACCTTATGAGCTTTTAGGGAACTTGCCTTTGATAACATAAATTTATATAAGTAGAAATATAAAAAGAAGAAAAAGGAGAGAATTATGTAAAGGCTTGAATGAGATGAATCACTCATTCATAGCTCTAGTCTTTATAGATAAAAAGAGCACATGCTCATATTACAAGAAAGGAAACTAAATCAAATTTAAATCAAATCACAACATATTCTATGGCATATTCAAATCTCTGCTATTATGGTAAGTCATTCCATAAATTGTGGCTATCATATATGCTAACATATGCAGAGTCAAATCTCTGCTATTATGGTAAGTCATTCCATAAATCGTGGTATCATATATGCTAACACTCCCCCTCAAGTTGGTGCGTGGATTTCTGAAACTCCCAACTTGGACAATGCATTCTCAAACACAATCTTGCTAACGTCCTTTGTAAGAATGTCTGCAAGCTGCTGAGAGCTTGTGACAAATGGAGTTCAAATTTGACCAGAGATGATCTTCTCTCGAATGAAGTGACGGTCCACTTCTATATGCTTAGTCCTGTCATGCTGAATGGAATTTGCTGCTATGCTAATGGTAGACTTGTTGTCACAATAGAGTGAGAATGGAAGCGACGCTGGAAGGCACAAGTCTGTCATCAAGGTTTTCAGCCATAGCAACTCACATACCTCAAGAGCCATAGCCCTATACTCTGCCTTTGCACTAGATCGAGAGACAACATCCTGCTTCTTATTGCGCCAAGTAACCAAGTTACCACCAATAGTGGTATAATAACCCGAAGTTGACCTCCTATTTGAAATTGATCCTGCATAATCAGTATCTGTCCAAGCCTCAACACGTAAGTGACCTTGATTGGCAAACAAAATACCACGACCGAGACACCCTTTTAAGTAGCGAAGGATCCGAATAGCTGCATCAAGGTGAGGGGCACGAGGAGAGTGTATAAATTGACTCACAACATTCATGGCATAAGCAATGTCAGGTTGAGTCATGGATAAATAGATGAGCTTCCCCACAAGTCGTTGATACTGACCAACATCTGACAACTCCCCCTCAGAATCAGCCAACCGATGATTCTGCTCAATCGGAGTATCAGTAGGACGAGCACTAAGCTGACTAGAAGCAGAAAGCAAGTCAAGAACATACTTGTGTTGAGAGATGAAAATGCCAGCCTTGGAGCAAGCCACCTCAATGCCTAAGAAGTACCGCAAGGGACCAAGATCCTTAATCTCAAACTGACGGCCAAGATAGCTCTTAACCTCAGCAATTCCGGTAGTATCATCGCCGGTAAGAACAATATCATCGACATACACAATGAGAGCAACTGTCTTACAGCCTGAATGACGTAAAAACAAGGTATGATCAGCTGCACTTTGATGGAAACCAAACTTGAGCATGGCAGTGCCAAAGCGATCAGACCAAGCTCAAGGAGACTGGTTGAGGCCATACAGAGAACAACGAAGACGACATACCATACGAGAATGAGCAGGAGAACGAAAGCCCGGAGGAGGAATCATGTACACCTCCTCCTGCAAATCACCACTGAGAAAGGCATTCTTGAAATCTAACTGAAATAGAGGCCAAAATCGAATCGTAGCAACGGAAAATAATACACGAATGGTATTCATCTTGGCAACAGGGGTAAAAGTCTCCTGATAATCTATGCCATAAGTCTGAGCATAACCTTTGGCATCCAACCGGGCGTTGTACGAGCAACTGACCCATCTGGATTATGCTTAACTGTAATCACCCAACGACAACCCACAGCCTTTCGTCCAATAGGAAGCGAAACTATGTCCCAAGTCTAATTTTTCTCAAGTGCTTGTAGTTCTTCTATCATAACATCACACCATTGAGGTTGTGCTAGTGCATCTGCAACCCTAGAAGGAAGAGGAACCGAGGCAATAGAAACAAGAAAACTCCGATAGGAGGGTGAGAGAGCATAATCAGAAACAAAATTAGAAATAGGGTATGTACAAGAACGATTACCCTTTCGAGGAGCAATGGGGCGATCATCAAGCGAAACAATAGCTTGAGAAGGCGGAGCTGGTGCCGAAGTAACAGGGCAGTCAATCGTGGGAGGAGAAGCTTGTACCTATTGTCTTCCACTATAAACCTGTGAAAATGGAATAATTCCCCGTGCTGGAGGGGTATCACGAGGAGGAATCATAGAAGACAAAACATGTAACGGTAGAGGAGTTGAAGACGGAAGAAGGTGATCATCCATTATATTCAATGGGAACCATTCACTTTGAGAACCAATTGAACCATTATAGTATGGTGTATGCTTAAAGAAAGAAGCATCTGTGGATATAAACTGCCGACGACTGGGAGGATGGTAACACCTATAACCTTTTTAAGAATGAGACTAGCCCAAAAACACACACTTCAAAGCCTTGTGGTCAAGCTTTGTACGAGTCTGCCCCAACTGCTGAACAAAGCACACACACCCGAAGACTCGAGGAGGAATAAAAAAAAGAGATGAATTGGGATGTAAGAGTGTGAGTGGGGTTGCAAAGTTAAGAACCCTAGAAGGAGTCCTATTAATGATGTAAACAACTATAAGAACTACATCTCCCTAAAATGATTGAGGAACATTCATGCCAATGCAGATTGCTCTGGCTAAGTCAAGGATGAGGCGATTCTTTCTCTTAGAACGACCATTCTGTTGAGGAGTTTTAACATTAGCCATCTGATGCTCAATCCCAAATTCTGTACATAACCGCTGTACCTCCCCATAAGTGTACTCCGTACCCTGGTCAGATCTGAATTTTTTAATGGTACGACCATATTGAGTCTGAGCCATTGTCATAAAATTTTTAAAAATGTTGTATACCTCATTTTTGGTTTTCATAAGATAAACCCATGTAACACGACTATGATCATTAATGAATAACACGAAATATCGAAATTCAAGACTAAAAGTAACTAGGCAAGGACCCCACACATATGAATGAACAAGATTAAAAGGTGTTAAAGCAGATTTATTACTGCCAGCAGGATAATTGGAACGAACATGTTTAGCCATATAACATGTCTCACAGGATAAATCTGACACTGCTACGTTACAAAATAAGGAAGGAAATAAATGTTTTATTTAACTGCAAGAAATATGTCCTAAACGTATGTGCCAACGCATAAGCTGGGCTTTATTAGATGGAACAATATTAGAAAATGAAGCTGAATGTGCTTGAGGTGACAAAGGAGCATCCAATAGGTATAGACCGTCCACTTCACGCCCACTACCAATCGTCCGTTTCGACACCAGATCCTGAAAATACAATGAGAGGAAAAGAACGTTACACTACAATTTAATTGTTTGGTAACACTACTAACATAAATAAGATTTGTAGTCAATTGTGGAACATGAAATGTATCTGACAAAGTTAATGAAGGAGTAACTGATATGTGACCTTTCCCAGCAATAGAAGATGGAAAGCCATCCGCTAGGTGTACCTTGGGATGGCCAGAGCAGATACTATAAGATTGGAAGAGTGAGGACATACCAGTCATATTGTCTGAAGCATTAGAATCAATGATCCATGGTGTCGAAGATGTAGATACGCTATATGTAGACGTAATAGTACCTGAGTGGGCATAAGTGGAGGTTGGCTGAGATGATGCCTTCATTTGGTTGAAGATTTGTTTTAACTTGTCCAAATCAGCTTGAGTCAAGATAATTGTGGCAGAAGATGTAGAGGCAGAGTTGTCAGGAGTTGACAATGAGACTGGTTGTGTAACAAAATGTGCAGAGGATCGAGGATGTTATTTTGCTGTGGTGGGCGTCCACGTAGAGCATAACAACGAGACTTGACGTGACCAATTTTTCTGCAATGGTCGCACCATCCGCGTTGTCGTCCCAGAGGAGGACCGGTGGTAGAGCTCTGAACTGACTGGGATGGTGCAGTTCCTAAAAGGTTGGGAACCCGAACTGCCATAGTAGAATGATCAACAGAAGCAACACCTAATGGATGAGTCTGACGGCTCTCATCTGACAACACATAGGAGTATGCATCCTCAAGAGTAGGGAATGAAGATAAGCCCAAGAAATGAACACAAGCGTACTCAAACTCGTCGTTCAACCCGGCAAGAAACTGAAACACTCGATTCTTCTCCACAATCCCTGCATATAAAACTGCATCATCTGGATCCTTCCAATAGTGGAAGGAATCATAATATGACATTTCCTCCCAAATAGCACGAAGCTTGGCGATGTAACCTGAAACTGTCAAGTCACCCTGAGAAATCCTGGTGATATCTTGCCTCAGCTGGAAAATTCGTGCATTATTCTGCCTATGAGAATAAGTGCGTTGAACTGAATCCTAAATCTGCTTAGCAGTCTTCATAAACATATAGCCAACAACTATGTTTCGTTGCATTGAATTGACTAGCCAAGACATAACCATAACGTTATCTGCAAACCACTGTGGATATGCGTTCTCTGACTCAACTGACTCTTTCTCAGAACTAGTAATATAGCTAATCTTGCCTTTGCCACCAATGAACATCTTGGCAGACTCTGCCCAAATCAAATAGTTGGAACCATCCAACTTCACTGTGGTGATTTGAAGTCCTGGATTTTCTGATGAGTTGGTGGGAAAAATGGCACCACCACCCACAGAACTTAAGCCAAGAGAATTAACAATCGAGGACCCCGAATCTGCCATAATCTGCCACCCGATAATAAAAAAACTCCAAAAACACCACAAATTCTGTTAATAAATCAAAGGGTCTTCCCAAACCATAAACAATAACAATATCTGCTCAGATCATTCCCGAAAAATCCAAATACATACCTTTTTTAAGAAGCGCTGCCCGCTTACATATAGCCAGATAGCCTCCTTCTTAATATCCGGAACCTCTTTGTAGACTAATTTTTTTTTTTTACCCAAACCCTTCTAGGTGTTGGAGACCAACTATCCCAATTTACCCAATCCTTGAAGAGTAAAAAAGAAATTGTAAAACTTAAAAATACCTGTTTTCGATCACAAAACAGCTATACAGAAAAACATGTGTAGGCAACGTCACACGATGTCACAAGTAGCCTAAGGTGGCTGTCGCACAAGTAGCAAGGCTGCCGAAAGGTGTGGAAAGGTGTTGGCTCTGATAACAAGTAGAAATATAAAAAGAAGAAAAAGGAGATAATTATGTAAAGACTTGAATGAGATGAATTACTCATTTACAGCTCTAGTATTTATAGATAAAAAGAGCATATTGTCACGAAGTGATTCCTAAGATGCTTGGAGGATAGAAGACATGCATGCTGGTTGGCAAAGAGCAGAGTTTGACTGGGAATGGTTCCAGGGAAGGGGCGTGCAGGACCACAGGATGGTACCTCTTCAGAGTTCAGGCAGGTCGACTCGGTTCAGTTCGAGGTGCTTGTCGCTGGTCGTGGACTTGACTATGAAGAAGGGAGTTGGCCATCCCTGCACAAACTGGTCGGGAGCTGGAGCCGTTACCCTGACGAGGCCACGGCAGGCCGAAACCAGTCAGCATGTATCCATGGGAGGGTAGGTCGTGGTGGCTGACCAGGGTGCTTGCGCGAGCTGAAGCAACGCCTTGGTGCCGCACGGGCCGTGCCGCTGCGCCAAATCTCTAGGCCCGTGACAATATGCTCATATTACAAGAAAGGAAAGTAAATTAAATCACAACATATTCTAAAGCATATTCTATAGCATAGTCAAATCTCTGCTATTATGGTAAGTCATTCCATAAATCGTGGCTATCATATATGCTAACGTATGTACAGTCAAATCTCTGCTATTATGGTAAGTCATTCCATAAATCGTGGTATCATATATGCTAACAATATATGTGTGTATATATGTATATCTATGTTTACTATGTGTCATAATGTGTGTATATGTGAATATATTTATATATGCATATTATTCATGTTCGTTGGTGGTTGTATTTGAATTCCAACTAGATTTGGAATTTGGAATCTCTACTCCTACTTAGGAATTGAATTCATTAGTTGGTGGATCTGGATTTGTAATTCAATTCCATATCAAGATTTATTTGGAACAACCAATTTTGAGGAATTCAATTCAATTCACTTTCCTGATTTTAGAGTCATCTTGTGCCTTAAAAGGATTATAGCTACTGTTCTTGTCTCATATGAAGAATATTAACTACATTTGATTTTCATGAGAAATAAATCAACCAGGCATTACGAACTTAGACTCATCTTGTTCTCTATAATAATTAGTGTTTTATTTTATTTTATTTTCCTTGAGTTTTTTACTTTTGAAATTTCTCACTGACGGGCTTATTTATCTATATGGATCTTAACAAAACTTTTCTTTTTCTTTAATTATTTTTTTTTTAATGATGCAATTATACATTTTTGTTTTCTTTAATGTTCAGTCTTCCATTGTCATTTTAAGTTCTACTAATATTATTTTTTCTTTCGCTCATCCAGATGAATACAGAACTGCTCAAGAAAAAGGCTGAATTGCTGGGGGAGTATTTCTGCATTCATGTTGATTCTCATGGTAAATTGTCTAGGCTTCCTGTTGTACTTGACCAGTACACACCTGACATGGACCGTGTTCCAGAATTTGTACTTTGTTTGGGCAATGATGTAAGTTTCTATGTCTATAGCGTGTCATCATTTTCCTTCGCCCCTTTCATGCTTTTTTGTTTTTTACTATAATGTGCTACTATTGGTTGAATTCTATTCTTTTTTTTTTTTTTTTCTCGGTAAATGTTGAATCCTATTCTTGATGGATCTGTTTGAGTACTTTTCTAATATACTTTACTTATCAAAATACATTGAGGATGATTCTACTTCAAAAATAGATACACAGACACACAGAAAGTGAGACAAATTTTGTTCATTCTTCTTCTTTTTTATTTTATTTTTTATAAATTGCTCATTCATACTAGAGTCATGCTTCCTTAAATTTCTCCGTGCCCTTTGTGTGGTAATCTTTTTGTACCTTCAGAATTTTTGGATTAATAAAATGGATTACAATAACAGCTTAGTAATAGAAGAATCCTGCAGCCCTCTCATTTTGTTGCAGCCTTTCTGTGATGTTGTGGCCCGAATTTGGTTTCGGGTCGCAACAACCCGACATTCCAATGATAGGAGGAGGTCCTTGACTGGGCATGTCTCCACTCTTTATAGGAGTGTGATCAGTTGGAAGGCGACTTTGCAATTCACAGTTGTATTGTCTAGTACTGAGGCTGAGTACATCGCAGCTACACAGGCAGTGAAGGAAGCTATATGGTTGAGAGGCTTGGTTGGTATTCTGGGCTTAGAGCAGGCTGATTTGAATGTGTTTTGTGGCAGCCAGAGTGCCATACATCTGACTAAAAATCAGATATTCCATAAGAGGACCAAGCAAATTGATGTCAGGTTGCACTTCATCAGAGATGTGATTGCACATGGTGCTATAGCAGTAAGGAAGATTGGGACAGAATCCTGTGGATATGATGACTAAGGTCACACATTGTCTGGCCTCGACAGTTTGAGGAAAAAAATTGACCCGTTTTTGCTTGCAGGTCATGGACCCTATTTAGTACTCTCATGTAGCTCGATATATAATGGCACTTAGGGTTTGGAGTGTGTTAATGAGAGAACACTGAAAATTTCCAAGAAAGAGAGTGAGAGCGAGAACTAGGGTTCGGGGGCTGAAACTCATAATCTACCATTTTTCGCATAGTGAAATCTTTCCCCGGATCTCCACCATGGACGTAGACATAACTTGTGTCGAACCACGCTAAATCTTTGTGTTCTTTGTGTGGCGTGTTTGCTTTTCTGTCTTGATTCATGATTTGTTCTTGGTTCGATGCGTTTGTCGTAACACTTTCTTTCTCTCACCCTTTCTTATTTTTTCTATGACCTGAACACAATAACAGCGTAGTATCGTAGTGGTTAAGATGGGGTCAAAGTTTGATTCTCTAATATAATATCTAGTTGGTCACTAGTTTGAGTCTTTCCGTTTGGTGGTGTTCTGTTTGAATTCTAGTTGAAGCCCTAGGATCTTAATCCATTTTCTGGTAGTGTCGAAAATGGCTTTTGATTCTTAGTACCAAGATCTGAGAAGCTGATGGTTTCTTATCACTTTTTGTTAACATAAAGAGGTTGATTTTGATATCCTTGGGTGTGATCTACCTGATTATAGTCTCTTTTGTTTGGGTAGGTGGGGGTGGTTCTAATTTATTGCAGTCTTGTTGATCTCTATGTTACGTATTTTGAATGCATCTTGTTAATACTTAATAGTTTAGATTGTTTGGGTCTAAACTCTAGTTCATGGAAGTTCGTCAGGCTGTTTTTTACCATGGCAGTTTGTCTGTCTTGTTCTACATTTGGAGGTTCTTCAAGTCCTATTGATCATGAGTGGTAGAAAAATGAGTCACAATTAGCATCCTAAGTGACAATCCTGTTCTTTAAATCATCACACTGAAAAAAAAAAAAAAAAAAGGTCGTGGGTGTGAGTGTGTTTCTTGCCAATGAAAAAAATAAAAATAAAAATAAAAGTCAAATAGGACCAATAATCTCACTAACTAACAGTTGAGGTTCTTGCTTATTAACAGCTAGGTAATGGTGGGCTATTTTAAGGAATAATTAAGAATCCAATACATGAAGGAATAATTAATAATTAACAGTTGGCATGCATAGGGCTATTTGACGCCCTATGCAGGTCAAAAGAGCCAAGGGCCGTCTTGTTATTTGCCCTACAACATCCTGAGCTATACCAAGCAAGCCTATTTTGCTGAAATTACCATGAAGGAGGTGCTCTATGCTTTGCACATGGCTTCAATCACTTTCAGCGAAATAGATCAACTATTGGGGACTACATAGCACAACAGGCCAATTATCCATCATGTAATAAATGGGATGCTGAAAATTCAGACTAAAGGTGCTATGAAACATTACTCAGTCCAATACAGGTTACTTGAAGTTTGAATCAAAAAATTAAATATCTATACAGTACTCGAGTTTAAGTATCTAATTTGATAGTTGCAAGCACCAACCCTAGGCTTTGATTTCCTCAACTAATTGTCCAAGTAGAGTCTACTGGTGTGAAAATTCTTTAAATGGTGCCGAATACTTTATAGGTTCAGTATCAATGGATGATCAACACCTTGATTCAATACTCACCAAGCTATGTATAATGACGATATCAAATAAACAAAGTTGTAGTAGAGATTTTCTGGAACACACTCTCAACTAACTTCTCATATGCTTAGAGTATAATATGAAGGTTAGCGTGGCTAAGAGCGTGCTTGTCCCGGTAGGGAATGTTAAGGATATTTCTTCTTTAGCTGCAGTTCTTGGTTGTAGGGTGAGCTCTTTTCCCATTACTTATTTGGGCTTGCCTTTAGGGGTTCTTTCCAGGAGAGTAGGCAGTTGGGACCCTGTGATTGATAGGTGTGCAAAGAGATTGGCAGGTTGGAAGAAGTAATATTTGTCTAAAGGGGGTAAAGTTACTCCTATAAAGAGCACTTTATCGAGCCTACCCACATTTTTTATCAATGTTCCAGATTCCATGCTCCGTTGCTGATAGGATTGAGAAAATTCAAAGGGACTTCCTTTGGGGCGGAAGAGGAGATGAGTTTAAGTACCACCTTGTTAGATGGGAGCAAGTTTGCAAGCCAATGAAGTTAGGGGGTCTTGGTTTTAGAAGACTAGTTCCTTTTAAACAAGCTCTCTTGGGCAAATGGTTGTGGAGATTTGGGAGGGAAAGACATTGTCCTTGGTGAAGGTTAGTTTCCTGTCGGTTTGGGGAAGAGATTGGTGGCTGGTCTACCAGACCGGTTACCCTTGCAGGTGGAGTAGGTATGTGGAAATCCATTCGGAAGGGATGGGATGTCTTCTTTTCTTATATTAGATTCAAAATCCGTGATGGTAGATGCGTTCGTTTTTGGGAAGATCTTTGGTGTAGTGATCAACCATTATCTCGTACATTTCCTAGACTTTTTAGTACTGCAGTTGATAGGCATGCTTACGTAGCTGATTGTTATCGACTTGATAACAGTGGGATTACGTGGAATGTGCACTTTCGACGTTTCTTTCAGGATTGGGAGTTGAATGAGGTTTGTGTTTTCCTGAATCAGTTGTATTGGCAGGAAGGAGTAGGTAGAGGAAGCGACGATCTGATATGGATTCCCTCTTCCCATGGTTGCTTTGAAGTGCGATCTTTATTCCTATGCTTATCTAATTTTGATTGCCTTGACTTTCCGTGGAAAACCATTTGGCGCTCTATGGCTCCAACTCGGGTAGCATTTTTTGTATGGATCATTGTTTGGGGTAAGATTTTGACGATTGATAATTTGAGGAAAAGGGGAAATTGTCTTGTCAATTGGTGCTGCCTATGCAAGCAAGATGGTGAGTCAATTGATCATATCCTCATGCATTGTCCCGTGGCGCACGACTGTTGGACTCTTATTCTTGGGTTGTTTGGCATGCGTTGGGTAATGCCTCGTTCTTCTAAGGAGTTGATTCATGTTTGGAGAGGATGTCGTATGCGGAGAGATGTACGTGATTACTGGAGAGTCGTTCCACATTGTGTGTGGTGGTGCATCTGGAATGAGAGAAATAACAGAATGTTCGAAGGGAAGGAGTCGTCTTCGGCGACGCTGAAACTTTTTATTATTCGCTCTCTTTTTAATTATGTCAAGAGGAGTTCTTGCTCCTCTTCCGATGATTTAATTACTTTCTTGGATTCTTTGAGGCCTTAGCGTCGATTCCAATCTTGTAATTGGGATGCGTTCCCCCTTTGAATGCCTTTTTATTTAATTTTTACTTATTAAAAAAATTAAAAAAAAAAAAAAAAAAAAAATCTAAACATGAGGTGTATATAGAATTTAGTCTCGGAAAACACTTGGGGGGTTTTAAGAGATTTGTTTTCGAAAGGAAATTGATTTCACCATATTTCGATCAATCGAGCCAAGTATCCGTCGATAGACACAAGTTCAGTGGCCTTTGATTGATCGCTTGGTTGATCGAAGTGCGCTGTCCTTTTTTCTTTTTATTTTTGTAACTCTGTCCACTATATATAAATTCCTGATTATTGATTGTAATTCAATGGATTGTCTTTTGGATTTTGTGGATAGCTTAAAGCTATAGTGTCATCTTGGATGGCTGTTGTCTTCTTTGGGAGCGCTCCCCTTTTGAGCGCCTTCTATAAAATCTTACTTACAAAAAAAAATAAAGAAAAATATGAAGCTATGCTCTAGAAGAGCATTGATTCTTCAACTGTTTGACTCGTTTGGGACTGGTTAATATGGACAAAACATAAAGAATGTTCCTGTATTGTTTGTGCTTCTGATTGAAACTTTTTTCTTGCTTGTTTAATGTTTACAATATAAACACTTAAAACCATCATCATGCGTTTTTTCTGGAGAATCCTCAGACATGACCAAGAAGCCTGCATTCTGAATCTGGTGTTGTTCATTCAAAGCTGGGATATGTTCTTTACTTTGTGCAAATGATGATTTTCGCACATTGCTACCAGGCCTCTAGCCTGGATGGTATGATCTCTCCTCCCCAAAGGGGAGGTTGAGAGTTTGACGTGGGGGGCATGTTGTGGGTATGGGTGTGTGTGTTTGCTTTAACTACCAAAAAAAGAAAAAGAAATATGATTTTAGCACATTATTGTAGGTTGATTGGGATGATGAGAAAAATTGCTTTCAATCAATTGCCGCTGCTCTAGGAAACTTCTATGCCATGCATCCTCCTTTGTTGCCTAATCCAGCAGGTGATGGTTTGCAATTTTACAAGAGAAGAACAGCCTGCAGTGGTCTTGAGGACACAAGAGATTCCTCAAAAGCTACAGGTATGACTGTTCTGCTGAAAAACTATGAATCCTTCCAATTGTTGCTCAGTAATTTGGATGATATTTTCCTCTTTTAAGGTTAATGCTTTATAGTACCAGATTTTTGTGCAGATGTGTCTAGCTGTCCATAATCCAGAATTTAGGGTATTGGACTAGACCAAATATTTAATGTTATCCTTCCTCATTGTTCATATAGAAGTATAATGAGTTGGTGTAACATAATGTATAGTAAATGAAAACAATTTGTGCTCGCTCTCTGACCTTTGTGAGGTTTAGGAGGAATAGTCTTCAATTTTTGGCGCCTCTATGTCAGCAAATAAGGGCCTCTGCACCAGCCGCGAAGACGGCCTCCTTGTATGAGATATTTCCTTGTGCCTAATCTCCATAGATGAGCATCCTAGTGATGCTTCCTCACCATCTGGGATCAGCCTCTCCATTGGACCTTTCCCCTTCCCATGAAGAGAGCTTATGGTATCGGGGGCTCATTTGTACTACCCACTCTTTCTGCATCACATCTTCCTTTACTCATTTTTTTTTTTGTCTTTGAGAACTGGGCCCTGGCCATCCAGATTGTATTAGGGAACTTCGAACAGCAGGGTCTTCCCGTCCTACTTGCCTTTGTGTTTGTTGGGTTTGTGGTTGCAGACTTGAGCTTGAATCCTAAAATAGTCAAAGCCAAGTTAAAATAAGGTGTACATAATCATATAAGAACTATGTCGAGGTCAACAATCTACATTTCTTGCTCTCTTTTGCTGCTCCTTCCTTTACATTTGCGAGCTGAGAACCTTGCTTTCCCCTGCAGTTGAATTTTGAACCATGGGCACCTCAGAAGCTCCCCTCCAGCATTGATCCACTTGCCTGCATAAATTTTAAGTATCCTTGAGCATTTGGTACCCTAGAGACCTGTTTGATAGACATTCCTCACTCTTACGCCAAATCGAGGGGCTGAGAAAAAGATCTAGATTCAAGTGTCCTTGCTGATCCTGGATTATAAATTACTAATCCCACCGTAAGAATAATTCTTTCCGTATCAAAGAACTTCCCAGAGCTTCTTGTAAGAGTTGGCCCCTGGAGTGTGCAAAAGTTTACTTGTGGCTTCCTGATCTCATCACCATTGTAGGAAAGCAAAATATCCTCTTGGGTGAAAACAATTCCTTTTGTTGGGGGGGGGGGGGGGGGGGGGGGGTTGTGGGGGGGTGGGGGTGGGTGTGGGGTGGTGGAGGGAGGGAGTATGAACTAGGAAAAAAAAAATCTAATTCCCTTCTTGAACCCATATCCCAGTATACAAGAAGGAATTGTTCTGAACTCAATAAAGAACAAAGATAATCTTATTGGTCTACATGTAAAGGAAGAGATCCAGGTTGATCATGGCTAGGTTCTCATATTTTATTTTATTTTTCCCAGGGTCAATCAATAAAGCATCTGCAAATACTCTGTGGTTTCAACAAATTGTTTTGTCTCTCTCCCGAATTTCTCTTTTGGGCCCAAGAATGGGGCCCTCTCTAGTCTATTCTAGACAAAACCTTGGGTTGGCCGTGTCCTCTTCTAGTAAGAAAAATCCCTGCTATCTTTAAACCGCAAAAGAGAATTTAGAGAAAAACTAACAACCTTGAAAAGAAACCTGTGGAATTTGAAGGCGACATTGTGGTTGAAGTTGCAAATAAGAGAGATTTTCTTAGAAGTATTATATCTTATATGGCATAGGGGTCATAATGGCCTCTTGGAATGACACTTAAACAGCGTTGACGGCTGTCACCAAGCAATAAAAGCAAACATTTTAGCATGAACATAATCTCGAAATGTAGAATATCTGTTTATGTAAATTGAGCTTGAACAGGAACATAGATTTGAATCTCACATGTCAGATACATAGAATACATGGCAGTAACTCTTGTATGTGTATGTAAATTGTAATGGGTAATATTTAATTTTGATTTTTCTTCTCAAATAATGAATGCATAAGCTTAACAGACATCTTTTACATAAATTTTAAATTATACTATTATTACACTTGCTATATTATATTTTAATATTATATGTGTGCATTTTTTTTTTCATATGAATTCTTTTTCTATAACACAAAGTATTTGCAGGATTAGTCTTATGCTTAGGAGGTTCAAAATTTTACGGCCTGTTATTCATATATGGGACTTATACAGGCCTTATATTTGTCCTCGAGATTTGTGTAGAAAAGTAGTCTCTCAAGGGTTTTACAATCTTCCTCAAGACTTATTTGGAGAGATGAGTTCCTCGATGGCCCTTAAGCATCCTCGAAACTTCTCTATAGAGAGGGGTTTCTCGAGGGCCCTTCAGTGCATTAACATTAGCCATAGAAGCTGAGGTTACATTATGGAGGCTTAGAGGAGGTCCTAGTGCTGATATTGAGGCTTATCTATATAGAGAAGGTCCTCGTAGTTTATGATTTGCCTTAGATTGGGGTCCCCACCATGGAGTTTCATATCAACACTCTACTCTCCTTGTCCTTTCCCTCGAACTGTGTATCTATCAGAACTAAGTCAAAATTTGTTGAGATCCTAAAATGAGGATTCTTGAAGGGTTCCCCAGAGGTGTTTATGGATATAAGGGGTATCATAAGAGAGGATATCCATGTGTAATGGTTGTATGGATTTTCACAATTTCAGTGTCACCTGGTTGGGCCTCATGGAGCATTAGGGAATCACTTAGCTACATTGATCATTGTATACTTGTTATAGTCACACTTTTGACTAATTTATATAGAATAATATATAAAATTTAGACATGCATGTGAGCATCTCCCTTCACTCCCATGTCATCACATTTTTTAGAGTGTTGGAGGGTTGTGTTACAAACATTACTTTTCCAAAAGTGTTTTGTGTTTTATGGAGAAATAAAGGGAAAAAAGAAAGAAAGAAAGAAAGAAAATTGAACTGGGTGCTGATGCAAAAAATTAATGCACCATCTTTCCAAGCTTTATGCAAATTTCTTATAGGAAAAGAAAAATAGATGTGTATGAGCTGTGCCTAACTCATTTGCTGAAGGAGGGTCGCAATAGCTCTCTCCACATAAATGTCTGTTTTTAGTGAAGTAAGTAATGTGAGAAATAAAAAATGGTGAACTTGGAGCTTTAGAACTAACGTTATAAACCATTAAAAATGGTGAACTGGGAGCTTTAGAACTAACGTTATAAATCATTAAAAATGGTGAACTGGGAGCTTTAGAACTATCGTTATAAACCATTGTTCAAGCGTTCCATGTAGCACATGATAAACTGAGCAGTCTCTTGTTAATAATGAATCTTACGCGAAAACCCGTATGCATTGTCTGTTATTCGTTTGAGGTTATTGAGCCAATCTTTGACTTCGCTAGTGTCATCTTCCCTCGCATTTTGTTATTTATTATTGTTTTTGTTGAAAGAATGCTGTTGTTATACAGAGGATGATGTAATGGGCGATGAAATTGAGCATGAACTACTGTCGGAGGCAGAGAATGCTTGGGCCCAGCGGGAATGGTCAATCCAGCATGTCTTGTTTCCCTCCATGAGACTCTTTCTCAAGCCCCCAAATTCGATGGCAACAAACGGAACATTTGTCAAGGTAATTCTTTATATTCCAATTGAAATGTTTCATTTCTCGAGCATCCTAGGCCTCATATCTATTGCATTCTGGATATACCTGTGGGAACTTCGATAAGATAGCTATATGCCCTAGTTTGGAAGTTTCCATTCGACAAGTTCCATCCATTAATGCACTTAATATCTCCTTTTATTTTCTCTATACTTTCCTTCTACGCTTGTGCACTGTATCTTCTCTTTTTTGATTATTAGAGTAATTTTATTTATTTATTTATTTTCTGTAGGTAGCTTCACTGGAGAAACTTTACAAGACTTTCGAAAGATGCTAACAAGAACAGTTCAGTCAGACGTATTGACACAGAAATTAAGTTGCTGACATGTCTTGTTTCCATATGCTGCCGCCATGTGTACGTGCCAAAAGACTCTTTCGGGGAAATACTACTGTAATTCCTACCGGTCATGGGGTTTAGTTAGGAATATATATCCATCATCTGTAAACAACACAGTGGGTGTTTGTAAATGTTTCCTTTTCTCTCTTGCTGTCTTTTGGGGTGGTTTAACATTCTGCCTCTGTTTGACTGTTCTTGCTGGGTAATATAGGTGGTAATTGAAAGTGGTGCTTCCGTTGGCTTGTGATAAATTTCTTGGAGTGTTGCCTAAGTATTCGTCTTTGTTGGACATGTATAGTTTTATAGATATATCAATCACATCAGGGAAAATATATAAATTCTACTTATGACAGTACTTACAAAAATATCAACAACTACTTTTTTATAACATATTTTCCAGATTTGGACTTTCAAGTCAATTACATCCTACTGCAGAAAACATTCTATAATCATGCAAAATTAAAATTCAGTAGTTTGTCTACATATATATAACAGAAAACAAGAAAAAGGGTAGGGAAAAAATATTTAAATTGCTCCATGTGGTTGGCTTGGCAACTCGAAGCGACACAAGGGGCACATGTGACTCCTTTTGAGCCACTCCAAAATGCAAACTTGATGGTATGTATGAGAACATGGCATGCGACTCACTTCCGACCCAATAAACATATCATCCCTGCATATCGCACACACTTTCCCTCTATCATTATTCTCTTCAAATTTGATTGTCTCTAATCCCTCGATAGATGATGTACTTGCAGGCACTAGTCTATCATATCCCAAGTACTCTCTCATGGTCCGATCCATCAATGACAAGAGCAAGTTTCTTTCATATCTTTCGTCCAACTGAGCTTTCTTTGGTGCTGTGTTCCTCACTCTCATTGCTATTTCTTTCCATATGCCATCAAAATCCATACCAGGCCGCACCCTTACGATCCAGGAAACGAATTGGTGAAGTTCGAGCACACGTTTTTCCATCTCCTTTGCATGGTCCATTGCTTGGATCTCCTGACTAGACAAAATCACTATTTTCTCAATGTTGATGTTCAAAACCAGTATTTTTCGGCCACAGTTTGAGAATTTAGCGACGGTCCAACGAGCATCAGCCATGACAGTATTGACTAAATCATCTAGCTTGTCAAGCTCATACACTGTTTCGTGGTCATAATATGGTCTGTATTCAAATCCCTCTAATGGGAATGGTACGTTCATTCCAGAAAACATTCCGGATATGATATCGGGTGTTAAGGTTTCGCATGGAAGTTGTTTCGAGATTTGTGCGATAAGGTCTCGTCTGGTGTTGGTTTTGAAGGATCCATCTGAAGAGAGATAGTTTTTTTCCACCTTAAAATCTAGGGAGAGTTGAATGGAAGGCAGTAATTGATTATTACTTCCGCTAATAAGACCTCGGCTCTTAACCTGCAGCTTTGTTGCAGCCATTAGGGGATAACAAAGAGGAACAGGTGGTGTATGATGATCGATACTACCTACTTAGAAAACTAAGAAAAAGAAAGATGGTGAATCGGCGATGGTTCAAACTTGCGGCAGAAGAGTGTGTTGTATATATACAAAATTACAAGAACAGTATTGGAATAGGAATAGGATAAACATTGGATTTGGATTAGGAAACACTTTGGTAATAAACAGAGCATGCATGTACTAAAGGCTTCTGAAGAATCCTAACTCTGTTAGGAGTGCGACTTGGATTTGGAAAGTTATAAAAAAAATAATAATTCCATTTGTTTTACCCTTAATTTGGAGGTTAAATAAACTTTACTAAGAGCAAGTAATTGATGTCGGAGGTTAAAGTAGATATTGTGACTGTACAAGTCCTGTGAATAATAATTTTCTAATAGAAAAAACAACCAAAAAAATCAATTAATAAATGGGGTGACCATGATGGGCCAAACGGGCTGGGTTTGACCGACTGACACATTTAGAGTAGTATATAGGACTATGCTAGCTCATTCCCTGTCCATCCAATATATGTCGACCTCTATTTAAATAGTCTAGGGCCCGATCTTATAGTCTAGGCCCACTCGTATGTAGATTAAACCTCAAAATTATAATAAAGCAAACACTTGTAAATAAACACTTATTCTGTTTGACATCCGCTTACATTTTGTGTTTTTTGCTTCGTATAATGTACTATAGCTTAGCAAAAAATAAATATAAAAAAATCATATCCGGTAACGTTTGTTATAATTTGAATGGTACTAAATCACTTCCGAAAAAGAAGCCAAAATCGGAACACCAAGCCGCATTGTAGCAGAAATACTGTATCGATGGATAGTACCATTAAAAAAAAATAAAAAAACAAATTTTAAAATGACCTTTTTAATTAGCCATTTTATTTTTCAAACTTGCAATATATATATATATATATTTTATCAAACATACTTTAATGTTTTTGCTTCCAAAAATCATGCAACAAATATACGTTAGTAAACAAGCTTCCGAATAGTATTAAACACACTCTAAAGTTGAAACATTACTTATATTTTTTATCATAGCAAAAGTACAAAATAATTGTGGTTCTAAATTAGGCCCTTAATTAAGAAGAAATTTAAAATACAGGCTTATGTTAGTTTTCTGGAGCTTTACATGCCATTTACAAAAATAGTGGCGATGAATACTTGCATTCAAACATGAAAGGAGAAAACTCTTTCTTATTGCTGATATGGTTATATTGAAAAGTGACATGTATCCTTTACAAAGAAAAAATTAAAAAGAAAAAATAATAAAAATTGATTAATCTACTTACACTAAGGTCAAATTTGATCTAAAATTAATTAATCATCCAATTATATCGTGACATGTTAGTTATAAAAAAATATATAGAGGCAAGTACGCACACATTAATTTGAAAGAGAGAAGAGAAGGGTAAAAACGAAAGATTAATCTAACTCCCAAAACAGTAAAAACAACAAAAAGAAGCAGGCCCAAAGAGAGAAGCTCTAATCATGTGTAATAACACGTGCTCTAAAAAAAAAAAAAAAAATACACAAAACAATCAAAGATGATCTTCTCTCAAAAAGCTCTTTTATTTGTAAAAATAATATTCTCGGAACTCTATATTTTTCATGAGACAAGAAGGAAAAAAAAAAAAAAAGGAAGTATTTATATAGGTTGACAATTAGGTAAAAAAACGAACGGTCCATCTCCCACAAATTTGGTTAAAAAAGAAAACCTAAAAGTTACCAAAAAAATGAAATTCCGCACGAATGAAAAAAATTGCAATGGGTCGGGAAGAATGGAACCGGTTGGATTTTTCCAGCGGTCAAAAAATGAAAATTCTAACAAGTGCGGTCGATCACAAATAAAGGTACCAATCGGACTTTTCTAGTCTTTAGATGGAACTAGACAAAAGAAGTGCAACTGGTTAAGAAAAGTGGGACCGGTCTGACACTTTTGAAAATTAAAATTTTATTTACAATATATATTTTCTTAAGTCCTAACAACTTAACTTGTGTCCTCACTCCCATACATGTTCTAAGCGAAATTCTATACTCATATTTAATTGAGGTATCTCATCTAATATCGAGACTCAAAATAAAATAAAAATGTGATTTTATTGGACTTGTTTTGACATCGATATTATCCTATACAAAAACACGTATCTCACATGCACCACCACATGTCTGGTTAACTGATTTTCAGCTAAGAAAATCAAGGTTACATGTCTAAAAAGAGAAAACAACCTCTCATGATATGTGAAAGTAATGCCACAATGAGCAGAGGCTCGTGCATTAAGTTTGGTCGTATGGTAGGTGTCGTGTGCGTAATACTCTATGGACGCTTCAAAGGCTTACACATCCTACACTCTCAAATATATATATATATATATATATATATATATATATATATATATATGAATCTTCAAAACAATACAAATACAGTTTAAATATGAAACCCCTTCTTTAGGCTCCGTTTGTTTCGACGTAAAATATTCTTTTTCAGGTAAAATTTTCTTTTATTTTTAGTTTGCCGGTGTTTGGCAAAGGTCTATGTCGAGGTTAATTTTGGTCGAGTCCATCGGGCACGGCATGTAAAATAACTTGTCGAAAATTGATGGATAAGTTATTTTTGTTAAATTTTAATATTTTTTTTCTTTGTAAATATTTTACGACAACCAAATACAAAAAAATAAAAAAATATTTTACATCCAAACAAACAGAGCTTAAAAAAAAATTAACATTATTATAAGCATGTGACTTTCGTATCATAGCGAGCATAACTGACATATCATCCTTGCATATCTCACACACTTTCTTTTATCATTGCTACCATGTCCTTCAAATTTGTTATAGGATCTCGAAAGTACTCTCTTGTAGCCCATTGGAGCAATGATAATCGCAAGTCCATCAGTGCCACCGCCGACCACTGCCTTCCACCACTGACGTTGCTACCATTACCACCACTACCACCACTGTCGTCGCCTTCCACCACCACCACTCTGTTGCCGTTTTCATTGCCTTCCACCACCACTGTCACCTTTACCGCTACCACTGTCACCGCATTCCACCTACAGCACTGCCTTTCACCACCGACACCTATCACCCCACCTACACCATTGTCGCCTTCCACCACCACCACACCATTGCCTTCCACCATCATCACTTACACCACTGATGCCTTCCATCACTACTACCGCCGCTGTCGCCTTTCAACACCACTACCGCCTTCCACCTCCACCATCCAATACCGCCACGCATCATCCACCATCGCCACCATTTCTTTTAAAAATATATATAGAAGAATTTTATTTAATTTAATTTTCACTAAGAAGGATATTTTGGAGAATTCAATTTGAAAATCATTTTATTTAAAATTTTTAATTGGTCTAACCAAACCCTAGAATGGTTATTGTTATTCCATTCTTACACATTTCACATATGCAACCAAACAATAATGAGAATGATTATTTCATTCTCATTCCGTTCCCACTTGCATTCCATTTCATTTCTGCATGCCAAACACATTATATAGTTCAAAGTAAAAAGGTGGCACATATTTCTTGGTACATAACACAACCAAAGACTAAACCATTATGAGTCAGTAATTTCATTTTTCCATTTGTTCCCCAATTCAAGCCTGTATGGATTGATTAAACTATTTGATCGAAATACAATAATAAATTTTCTCATGCAATTCAATTAAGTTCTCAAGCAACAATGTTGAACACTTCAAGTGCTAAAGCATATGATTTCTCAGAAAATGAAATGGGCAATTCCAGT